CACACTCGCACAGGCCCACAGCTGTTCACCAGTCACTCGTGGGGCCGTCCACGCACCACAGACTCTAAAGGACATTCTGGGTTGCCGGCCCAGCCCACTCGATTGCTCAGAGGCTTCTTGCCCCATCCTCCTGGGGCTGTCCCCACTCCCCAACTTCACAATCCAACCCCCAGGGCCAAGTGTCATCTTCAGTTATCCTGGACTCAACGTTTCTTCGGGCTCTAAGACATCACTTAATCCTCAAACACAAATAGTTAGCACCTACTGTTTACCCACTGCTATGATGAGTCCTTGGAGGAAGCATCAGACCATGGTCCTGTCCTCAGTCAAGGAGAAGAGACAGACACTAGCGGAGGTACAGGAATAAATTCTCCATGCGCAGACGCTGCTGAGCACTTACTGTATGCCTGACACTGCTGGGGGCACATAGTAAATGCTACGAAGGGAAAAACCAGGAGAGCAGCAAGAGAGAATGACAGGGAGAGGTGGGTCCTGTCATCCAGGGTAGTCAGGGAGGACTTCCTGGAGGAGGTGACCTTCAGAGCGAGACCTCAAAAACGAGAAGGTGATGGCCGCATGAAGAAAGCTGGGAAAGGTACTGTGGGCAGTGGGAACAGCTTTTGCAAAAGAAGGCCTTGAAGCAGAACATGCATGCAGCACAAGTGTGACTTTTAGTCACCACATGTTCCCTGTAGACCACCCCCTACCCCTCACTAGATAGGGGGGCAACCGAGGTGGATAAGGCCTGTCCTGATCCTCTAGGCCCTGCCAACCCAGAGGTGTGGGGAGGCAGTGAAATAAATGAGGGGAGTTGAGGGAGGCCTCCTAGGAGAACACTGCAGCTGGGCTTACAGTTCAGGACCTGGGGACTTCCCTGGTGGTCCAGCGGTTAAGACTTCGCCTCTCAGTGCAGAGTTGTGGGTTCAATCCCTGGTCAGGGAGCTAAGATTCCACATGGCCCACAGTCAAAAAACAACAACATGAAACAGAAGCAGTGTTGTAACAAATTCAACAAAGACTTTAAATAAAAGCGGTCCACATCAAAAAAAGTCTTAAACAGAAATAAAGCTCAAGCCCTGTCCTCTTGAGGAAGGCCTCAACAGAACTAAAGGCTGGAGGTGTAGTTTGGTGGCAGCATCAGAGGGTGGACCCCCAGTTGGGGGTGAGGGGTCAGACTGCCTAGAAGGGGCCCAGTGCTAAGGCCCCATTTTCATTTCCCCGCAGCCTGACCTCTTCAGTAGGAAGGATGGAAGGCAGCCTCCTCACAGCCTCCATCGCAAGACCGTTGGGTTGGCAGGGGCTGGGGAGTTTCAGGAAGGGCAGGGACCCTGGTGCCTGCCAGAATCCCTTCCTCAGGGCCTCATCTTTCTGTCTCAGGGCAGATGAAGTCGGCCTGATCATGACCAACCTGGAGAAAGCTAATCAGGTGAGGAGATGTTTGCCGGGGCTCACTGACCCAGGGTGGTGGGAATCTCGGGCTGGGTGGAGGGGAGGGAGCTGAGCGCAGTCAGTATTCATTGAACTACACGCCATGCTGAGCGCTGGGGCTAGGAGATGTCAGAGGGACCCGGCCCCTGAGTTCCTGGACAGACAGAATGCTCAGAAATAGAGTGATGCAGGTAGCAGTCGTTGAGGAAGGGACACCTGACCCAGACCCAGGACAGGGAAGACGTCCCAGGGAAAGGGTCATTGCGCTGAGACCTGATGAGTAACTGGAGCCTGCAGAGGGATGGATTCCAAGCACACGATGGCCCTGGTAAAGGCCGAGAGGCAGCCTGCAGAGCACGAGTGCCCTTCCCCGTGAGAGAAAGGCAGAGCAGGGATCAGGGGTCCAGGCCCGCCCCCAGGCTAAGCTGGGACATGGGTCTCTCCCAACCGGACTGAGGAGCCACGTTCCACAGAGCCCGGGGCAGTGACGAGGGACAGGCCGGAGGCTGCTTCCCTCCCTCTGTCCCCACCTGGGGGTCTCCGCCAGCCTCCGCACTCGATCACTAGCCGATCACCAGCCGAGCGCTGGGTGGACCCCAACCTTCCCTGGGGCTCCCGCATTCTCATCCCAGCCCGGGTCCCTGTAAGTCCTTGAGCTCCTCTGAGTCTCAGTTTTCGCATTTATAAGTGGGGTTCCCGCATCCTGCCTCCCTCTGGCTTCAGATGTGTTGCCGTCTGTGGGGCAGAGTTGGGCGGGACTTTGAAAGGAGGTAGGACGCGGCCGTGAGGGTTCAGTCTGGAGTCCTGCGGGCCCGCCACACCTCTTCCCCTGCCCTGCGACGCCAGCAGCCCGAGCCGTGGCCGGGAGGGGTCAGCAGTGCAACAGGGCCGGCGGTCATCTCCCTGGGGGTGGTGGGGGGAGGCCTCCTAGGAGGGCCTCTTGAGGTGGGTTCTAAAGCCCAGGCACTGCCCTCCCGAGGAATGGAAGAGGGCACAGCAGAGGCAAAGGCCCGGATGTGGGGCTGTGGGGGCCCAAGGACCGGGTGCTCCCTCCTAGAGGAAAGTTGGGAAAGAATAACATTTTTTAGGTTCATTTTTTAAGTAGGTAATCCATTTACTTAGTTCAAAACTGAAAAAGCTCCATAAGGGCATAGTCGGGAAACTCCTTCTCCCCTCCCTCAACTTGCCCCCGGTCCCCCTCCCCTCAGCAGCCTCCGTTACCGTGTCGGGGTCTCCTCCCAGAGAGGCATCCACAAGCCCATGATATCTATTCTTACCCCTTTTTAAACAGAAACAGTAGTTACCAAGTGCACCCTTCTGAACCTTGCCTTTTCTGTGTATGTATCTTAGAGCTCGTTTCGGATCCGTGTGTAAGGCAGGTCCTTCATTTTCACAGCTGTGTCAACGTTACCGTCATCAACTAACCCAGGGGAAGGCAAACTGTCCGTAAAGGACCTGAGAGTATATTTTAAGCCTTGCAAGTTGCTGTCAAAACTGTTCAAAACTTTGCCACGGTAGAGTGACAGCATAGACAATATGGAAGTGAATGGGCGTGACTGTGTTCCAATAAAGCTTTATTTACATAAACAGGCAGCAGGCTGCATTTTGCTGACCTCTGATCTAACTCATACCCTTTTGGTGGTATTTCCAGTATTCTAACCATCATCCTTAATACTGCAGGGAATAACCTTGTACAGATATCATTTCATACATAGCCAAGCCACTACACAGGGCAAGTTCCTAGAAGTGGAACTGTTGGGTGAAAGAGCCGGGTGCTTATAATTTGGCAGATGTGGCCAGACTGGCTTCCATGGGTTTACCAGGGGGTTACACCCCCTTCAGCAAGATGAGAGGGCCTGTTTTCTCATAGCCTCGCCAGCACCATGTGGCATCAAACTTTTGGATTTCTGCCAAACAGGCTTAAGAAGAGAGATCTTAGAGTAGTCTGAATAGGAAGCATTTTTTATAATGTTTCTTTTTTCTGAGTATAAAACAAAATCTGCTCATTATAAAGTATTGAGAAAAAAGGACATGTCACCGTATTAGTCTTTAATATCTGTATTTATTAATACTATCTTAAATATGAGCAAGAGGATTCTGGAGCAGGTTATTATTACTTGCATAGTAAAAACCATGCCAGTTTTCCCCCGCTGTTCCCCTGGGGTGATGAGCCGAGAACCAGATGTCCTGCATGTACCGGGGTTTGTGCTGTAGGCAAGGGATGCCCCCAAAAATATGAATCCGGGTGGTTGTATAGGAGAGGAACCTTCTGAGAAAGGGAGAGAAATCTGCTCTCAAGTATCTTCATGAACAGAAGGGCGAGGATCCTGGGTTTCTAGCATTTGGAATGTAAATACTTCTCTCCGGGGGAAGATGAGACTAGTAACTTTAAATTCATCTTTACAACCCAGAGGATGTCTTCATGGTCTGGATCTCATGCCCCCCTGAAATGTCAACAGGCATCTCCCAGGAGGTGGATCTTTGGAGTTCTAACTAGCTGATCAGTCATGTGTTGATATTTACAAGGCTTGTCTTTTAGCCCAGACCTCAGGTCTTAGTCCCACTTACTCAGAAAGCCCTAACTGTGTGGAAACATAAAAATGTTTTCTCTACGACCCCACACACACCCAAATCCTTTCCCCAAACAAAGCTGACTCCTAACTCAAACTATTTTTGAAACAAGGCAGGATACCATAAATAAACAAATCATTTTAAAGATAAATCAACAAAATGTGTGCATAAATGTGTGTGAGTCTCTGTGCACATATAGTGGGCACAACATACTGATTGCTGTGATCAGTGTATAAGTTAAACTTAATCACTTGACCTGCATCACCAGCTGGGGGTCAAAACACAGCTGCAGCTCTTTTCATTTTAATAACAGTTCAAGATTCCATCCCTGTTGTTGTTAGTAAAGGGATCCAGTTACTGACATATTTGTATGGGTCAGGCATCAAGGTGGGATACCTAATGAATTGTATTTTACCACATCACTTATGTGCAGAACAGACTTATGAAGTAGTTGCGCATATCATCCCCATTTTGCAGACAGGGAAACTGAGCCCAGGGATATGAAATTTCTTACCCAAGGTCACACAGCCAGAAAGAGATAAAGTCCAGATGTCTTTCCAGGCCCCAAGTCCACATTGTTAACTTTTGAAAGCCTCCTTCCAGGCTTTTTTCTTATAAATTTTTGAAGAGTTAAGATTCAGTTTGGTCAGCTGTGGCATTCTGATTTTAAATATATTTCAATGCTGCTCTACAGTAGTTGTATTTCATGGCCTCCATTTCACAAACAGAAAACTGAGACCCAGAGAGGGGAAGTAACCTGCCCAAGGACCTGCAACAGCTTGTGGGCTTTGGAGCCAACCTCTGCAGACAGTGCATGGCACAGGAGCTGGGGAGAAGCTCTGGCCTTTTGACTAGCCAAGCCTGAAGTGTACTTGGCAGACAGAAGTGGCCTGGGAACATGCAAAAACTTGCCAGACTCATCAAGACAGCACCTCCCTTCCTGCCCTAGTGGAGTGGGAACGTTCTAGCTCCTCCTGGAGTCCCAAACACACCAGGGGAAACCAGAGCCAACTCAGGGGCCCAGGACTCAGAAAGTTGAACCCCAGGTCCTCAGACCTGCCTTCCAGCTGCTGTCTGAGATAGTGCAGGGGAGCAGAGGGGGGCCAGGTTGGGATCCAGTGTGGCCCCCCTCACCTCTTAATCATACCTGCCCCCTTTCCCCCCCCCAGCGAGCCGAGGCTGCCCAACGGGAGGTGGAAAGTCTTCGGGAACAACTCGCCTCCGTCAACAGCTCCATCCGCCTGGCCTGCTGCTCTCCTCAGGGACCCAGTGGGGTAAGGATGGTGGCAGAGCCAGAGGGAAAAGTTGGGAAAGGCCATGTTTGTGGTTTTGAATATGTGGGTGACATTTTGTGGGTGGACTGTGTGCATCTTCATGAAATTGTGCACATGAACGGGCCTGGGTCTTTTTGTGCATACAATGGGCATAACATCTTTATTACCAAAAAGTCAATGTGTAGTTAAATATAATTATCAGTGTCATGACTTGCTTCGCCTGCTGAGGGTCAAACACAGCCACAGCTCTTTTTACTTTTCAAGCTCAAGCTTCGTATAGCTTGAGTCCATATCCTTTGGAGTTTAGTCAGTTCAGAGAGGATCATTCTTATGCTAGAGGCCCAGCTGGAGCAGGGTAGGAGGTTGAATTTGGACTGTCGAGCAGCAGTGCAGTTTTGATGGCTGCCACCAGGTGTCGCTGTTGACACCCCCCACCCCCGGTCTTGACCGGCTTGGTGGATGTGTGGGGCCACATACCAAGAGCTGAGGTGGACACTCATAGGGTGATTCTGAGGAGGTCTCCCAACCAGCCACATGTTACAAAGAATCAGGCTATAGTCATCAACCCTGAGATTCCTTTGTTAAGCCAGTTAGGGCATCTTTATCATTCCTTTGGTTGGTGCCCCTTTAAGGTCCTGGGGACATTTCCTGCCAAGGGATTTTAATCAGCACCACCCCAACCTACGCTTCTGTCATGTAATAAGAGTCTTCATTGTTTCTCTCCCAGAAAGCCTGACTTCATTGTGTAAGTTGGTCCTTCTTTCCATATTCCTGCTTATCAAGGAATGAGATCCATGTTGTTGTCGCTGTTCAGTCACCAAATTGTGTCTGACTCTTTGTGACCCCATGTACTGCGGCCCCCCAGACTTCCCTGTCCCTCACCATCTCCCAGAGTTTGCCCAGGTTCATGTCCACAGAATCGGTGATGCCATCCAACCATCTCATCCTCTGTCGTCCCCTTCTCCTGCCCTCAATCCTTCCCAGCATCGGGGGCTTTTCCAATGAGCTGGCTCTTCACATCAGGTGGCCAGAGTATTGAAGCTTCAGCATCAATCCTTCCAATGAGTATTCAGGGTTGATTTCCTTTAGGATTGACTGGTTTGATCTCCTTGCAGTCCGAGGGACTCTCGAGAGTCTTCTCCAGCACCACATTTCAAAAGCATCAATTCTTTGGCATTCAGCCTTCTTTATGGTCCAGCTCATGTGATTCATGATTGCTTCCATAATAACAGGTCTGCTCCAGGGTGATTTGCAGTCTCCATCCATGAACCTGAAGAGGCCACAGAATTTTCATTTCACCTGACACCCTGTTACACAGACCTGTGTGTCTGTATCTTTCTATTTAAGTATTTGAATGAGTCTCTCTGAACGTGTGTTACTGTGTATGGGTGTGTGTGTCTGTGACCTCTGGGCAAATTACTGTATCCTTAATCTAACTGTGCCTAGTTTCCTCATCCGTACAAATAAGATCTGCCTTATAGGGTTATTGAGAGGATTACATAGCGTTCGGTTTATAATCTATGCTCAATAAACATTTAATGCAATGTTATTATTAGTAGTGTGTTTGGGGTATGTCCAGGGTGTTTTTGCCCATGTGAGCAGGTGGTGTCTGAGCACATACATGTCTCTGTGTGTGATGATGACGTGTCTCCTGTATATCTCTGTGTGTGTGCTTGTCCACATGAGCACCCCGCCGGTACATGTGACTGTGTGCTGTGTCCATAGGGGTGTCCACCTGTCCCCATGTCCCAGGAGGCAGTGTGTATGTTATCAGCGTGCTTGATGTCTGCATGACCCAGAGAGTGAACTCCAGAGAGACTGAGAGCGAGAGAGAGCTCATGAGGACGCCTCAGAGAGAGTTTGCCAATGGTTCTTAATTAACCCCCGTGGAACCCAGCAAATGCCTGTGCTAATCAACCACGGGAAACTTTGCTGGTTTGGGGGGTGAGCTTTTCTGAGCACAACAGTGGCGCTCGATGCTAATTAATTTAAAGTGTTAATGGCATCCGCTTCCTGTTTTAATTGGCATTTATCTCCATGGAAGAATAGCTGGGGCTGGTAGTGGTCGGTTGGTTTTTTATTTTTTTTTTGTCCCTTTGTAATGCTGCTTAGATTCGTTTGTAACTGAGCTCAAGGACAGCCTGACTTCAGGTCCTCTCAAACAGAAACCTCTTTATCTTCATCCAGGGCCATTTCCTAAAACCTAGAGAGGCCATGGGGCTTGGTGCTGGTGGCAAATTAGGGTGACGAAGGAACCACCCTAATGTGACTCGTGGGTGCAAGATCTCAGGTCTAATCCTGTGGGTCTCCTGGGATGGGAACATCCCCCCGCTGGGGTGGGACCTGGGTCTGACTTAGAAACCCAAACCTTTGTCTGTGCTGTTCTATGGCCAGGAACACCCTATCACTACCAATTCCTCATCCAACTGACTACTTCCGCTTTTTGTTCCTTCTTAACAAATGTTTTATTGAAGTATAACATCCATAAGGGAAAATGTGCACAAGTGTACAGCATTTGGAATTTTTCAAAGTGAACACACCCCTTAACCAGCATCCAGATCAACATTTCAACACCTGGAAGCCTCCTCATGCCCCCATCCAGGTGCCACGCCCCTGGGGGAGCCCCTCTCCAGACTTCTAACAGCACACGTGGGTTTTGCCTATTTTGAAACATGATATATTTTTTTTCTTAGGAAATCTTTCTGCTTTAATTTTTAAATTATGAAAGTATGATAACATTGACAGGAGACTTGGAAAATACAGAAGTTACATATAGCTCCACTATATATTATGTTTTTTTTAAGTAGATAAATTAAGATTTTTAGTTAGAGTTTCAATATCAAACTCTCAAACATTGATAGAATGAAAGTGAAAAGTAGAAGCATACAGTAGACCTGAAAAGCACTGTGAACCAATACAACATACTTAAGATTTATACAGTTTTCACACAACAGCAGGATACAAATTCTATTCAAGTTCCTATAGACTATAAACCAAGAGACACAGGAAAATATCCAGGGACATAAAGTGCAAAAATTTCATCATCTAAAGGTATTGAAATCATACAGAGTCTGTTCTCTTATCACTGTGGCATTATGTTAGAAATCAATATCAAAAGGTATTTGAAAATAACCCTCATATTTTCAAGTGCAATGTGACATTTACCAAGAGAGATCTTTGACTTAGCCATCGAAAGCCTAAGGAAAGTTAAAAGACTGAAAAAACACAGAAGCTGATGGCAGAGAAGAAAGCATTTAAATGAGAAATGGATATCAAAATGAGAAATTAATATCAAAGATTTTTTAAAAGCTCCATGTATTTATAAATTAAATGTCCACTTTTAAATGATGGGTGTTGATACCTGATCTTAATAGAATCACACACACACTTCGGTATCTGGCTTCTCTGGGTCCATGTCATAGCTGGGAGAGCTATCCATGCTGTGTTACCAGTAGTGTGGATTATTCATTTCTGTCGCTGTCGAGTACTCCATTGTCTGAGTATTCCACAACCTGTCCATCCATTTTCTGGGGGTTTCCTGTTTGGTGCTCTTACAGAGAGGGCTGCTGTGAACGCGCGTGTCTCTGTCTTGGTGCACAAGTCCCTGCGTTTCTCCTGCATATATTCCAATGACTGAAAGCACCAAGACTTAGGGCACCATATGTTCACCTTTAGTAGATTTGTTGTTCAGTCGCCCAGTTGTGTCTGACTCTTTGTGACTCCTAGTGTTGCAGCACTCCAGGCCTCCCTGTCCCTTACCGTCTCCCAAAGTTTGCCCAAGTTCATGTCCATTGCTTTGGTGATGCCATCCAGCTATCTCATCCTCTGATGCCCTCTTCTCCTTCTGTCCTCAATCTTCCCCAGCATCAGGGACTTTGTCAGTGAGTCAGCTGTTTGCTTCAGATGACCAAAATACTGGAGTTTCAGCTTCAGCATCAGTCCTTCCAACGAATATTCAGGGTTGATTTCCCTTAGGATTGACTGGTTTGATCTCCTTGCAGTCCAGGGAACTCTCTGGAGTCTTCTCCAGCACCACAGTTCGAAGGCATCAATTCTTCGGTGCTCGGCCTTCTTTACAGTCCAGCTCTCACAACTGTCCCACTGGGAGGACCATAGCCTCTGCTTTTCAACACACTATCTAGGTTTGTCATAGCTTTCCTGCCAAGAAGCAAACGTCTTCTGATTGCATGGCTGCAGTCACCATCCGCAGTGATTTTAGAGCCCAAGAAGAGGAAATCTGTCACTACTTGCACCCTTTCCCCTTCTATTTGCCATGAAGTAATGGGGTCAGATACCATGATCTTAGTTTTTTTAATATTCAGTTTTAAGCTGGCTCTTTCACTCTCCTCCTTCACCCTAAACAAGAGGCTTAATTCCTCTTTACTTTCTGTCATTATAGTGATATCATCTACATATATGAGGTTGTTGATGTTTCTCCCATCTATCTGGATTCCAGCTTGTAACTCATCCAGCCTGACATTTATCATGATCTGCTCAGCATATAGATTAAACAAACAGAGTGACAGCAGATAGCCCTGTCGTACTCCTTTTGATCTTGAACCAATCAGTTTTTCCATACAGGGTTCTAACTGTTGCTTCTTGACCCGCATACAGGTTTCTCAGGAGACAGGTAAGGTAATCTGGTATTCCCATCTCTCTAAGAGCTTTCCATATTTTATTGAGCCACACAGTCAACGGTTTTGGCATAGTTGATGAAACAGAGGTGGATGTTTCTCTGGAACTCCCTAGCTTTCTCTAATCACACACACACTTCGGTATCTGGCTTCTCTGGGTCCATGTCATAGCTGGGAGAGCTATCCATGCTGTGTTACCAGTAGTGTGGATTATTCATTTCTGTCGCTGTCGAGTACTCCATTGTCTGAGTATTCCACAACCTGTCCATCCATTTTCTGGGGGTTTCCTGTTTGGTGCTCTTACAGAGAGGGCTGCTGTGAACGCGCGTGTCTCTGTCTTGGTGCACAAGTCCCTGCGTTTCTCCTGCATATATTCCAATGACTGAAAGCACCAAGACTTAGGGCACCATATGTTCACCTTTAGTAGATTTGTTGTTCAGTCGCCCAGTTGTGTCTGACTCTTTGTGACTCCTAGTGTTGCAGCACTCCAGGCCTCCCTGTCCCTTACCGTCTCCCAAAGTTTGCCCAAGTTCATGTCCATTGCTTTGGTGATGCCATCCAGCTATCTCATCCTCTGATGCCCTCTTCTCCTTCTGTCCTCAATCTTCCCCAGCATCAGGGACTTTGTCAGTGAGTCAGCTGTTTGCTTCAGATGACCAAAATACTGGAGTTTCAGCTTCAGCATCAGTCCTTCCAACGAATATTCAGGGTTGATTTCCCTTAGGATTGACTGGTTTGATCTCCTTGCAGTCCAGGGAACTCTCTGGAGTCTTCTCCAGCACCACAGTTCGAAGGCATCAATTCTTCGGTGCTCGGCCTTCTTTACAGTCCAGCTCTCACAACTGTCCCACTGGGAGGACCATAGCCTCTGCTTTTCAACACACTATCTAGGTTTGTCATAGCTTTCCTGCCAAGAAGCAAACGTCTTCTGATTGCATGGCTGCAGTCACCATCCGCAGTGATTTTAGAGCCCAAGAAGAGGAAATCTGTCACTACTTGCACCCTTTCCCCTTCTATTTGCCATGAAGTAATGGGGTCAGATACCATGATCTTAGTTTTTTTAATATTCAGTTTTAAGCTGGCTCTTTCACTCTCCTCCTTCACCCTAAACAAGAGGCTTAATTCCTCTTTACTTTCTGTCATTATAGTGATATCATCTACATATATGAGGTTGTTGATGTTTCTCCCATCTATCTGGATTCCAGCTTGTAACTCATCCAGCCTGACATTTCTCATGATCTGCTCAGCATATAGATTAAACAAACAGAGTGACAGCAGATAGCCCTGTCGTACTCCTTTTGATCTTGAACCAATCAGTTTTTCCATACAGGGTTCTAACTGTTGCTTCTTGACCCGCATACAGGTTTCTCAGGAGACAGGTAAGGTAATCTGGTATTCCCATCTCTCTAAGAGCTTTCCATATTTTATTGAGCCACACAGTCAACGGTTTTGGCATAGTTGATGAAACAGAGGTGGATGTTTCTCTGGAACTCCCTAGCTTTCTCTGTGACCCAGTGTATGTTGGCAATTTGATCTCTGGTTCCTCTTCCTTTTCGAAACCCAGCTTGGACATCTGGAAGTTCTTGGTTCGCATACTGTTGAATCCTAGCATGCAAGATTTTAAGCATGACCTTCTAGCATGAGAGATGAGTGCAGTTGTCCAATGGTTAGCACATTCTTTATTGCTACCCTTCTTGGGAATTGGGATGAGGATTGACATTTTCCAGTCCTGTGGCCACTGCTGGGTCTTCCAGATTTGCTGACATACTGAATGCAACACCTTGATGGATGTTTAGTAGATGCTGCCAAGCAGTCTTCCAAATCACTAACTTGTTCTTGAACTTCATTGCTGCTTAGACATACCTTCTGCCAAAGCGCTTTCTCTGAGCAGTCCTTCTCCCTCCAGATTTCATTTCAAGAAGAGAGGGAAAGACATACAGGCACGTGGGACCAGCTGAGCAAAGGCTCAGAAGTGGGAAGGGCCTGATTTGGGGTGGGGAGGGGGATACTGAATCACTCTGGGGGAGCACCCTGCCCCACCCCTCCTGGCCCCTCCAAGCCCCTCTTTGTGCCCAGGATAAGGTGAACTTCGCGCTGTGCTCGGGCCCTCGGCTGGAGGCTGCCCTGGCCTCCAAGGACCGGGAGATCTTGCGGCTGCTGAAGGATGTGCAGCATCTCCAGAGCTCCCTGCAGGAGCTGGAGGAGACCTCCGCCCACCAGATCGCAGACCTGGAGCGGCAGCTCACCGCCAAGTCTGAGGCCATCGAGGTAGGTCTCGCGGGAGGAGATGGGCAGACGGGAGACGGGGTGGGTGTCCCCCCGGCAGGAGGACGTGGACCAGCCTCCCCTATCTTTGTTTGTTCTTCTAGAAGCTAGAAGAGAAGCTCCAGGCACAGTCTGACTATGAGGAAATTAAAACAGAGCTGAGGTATTGTGTCGGGTGGGGCCCCACACACCGCCAGACCCTCTTCCCTGGCAGGAGGCTGCCTGGGAAGATTGCCAGGGGCCCTCAGCAAAGCTCATCGTCTTCCTCCCTCCCACCAGATCCCGCTTTGTGGTACCCTGTCTCCTGTCCGCTGGCACCCTGGCTATCAGACCCAGTCCTTTGCCATCAGGAGCTGCCTGTGGGGAAACAGCCTTGTTGGTGCTGTTGCAGGGCGGGGGTGGAGCACGGGAGGCGTGAAAGTTAGTCGCACAGTTGTGTCCAACTCTTTGAAACCCCATGGACAATATAGGCCACCAGGCTCCTCTGTCCATGGGATTCTCCAAGCAAGAATACTAGAGTGGGTTGCCATCTCCTTCTCCAGGGGATCTTCCCCACCCAGGGATGGAACCCGGGTCTCCTGCCTTGCAGGCGGATTCTTTACCAGCTGAGCCCTTGCGGGGGCAGGGGGTGATGTCTTAATCAGACCAGCTCAAGCTGCACCCCTCCAGGTGGAGCAGACCAGTTCACAAGCCACTGCTTCCGGCCTGTTGTCCACTGAGTCCCATGTTGTATGAGACCCAGGGGTGGGGTGGGTGCTGTCCAGGAAGAGGAGCAGGTGCTATGCCTCTCAGGAGGCCTCTCCCCCAGCCTGGGGACCCAACTGGCCTCACACTCTCCCTCCGCTTTCTCTGGCAGCATCCTGAAAGCCATGAAGCTGGCCTCCAACACCTGCAGCCTCCCCCAGGTGAGGGTGCCCACCACCGTCCCTACGGGGCAGGCTGCCCCCAAGAGCGCCGCACCAGCCATGCCCTCTCAGCCCTGCTTCTTGTCTCCTCAGGGCATGGCCAAGCCCGAAGACTCACTGCTCCTGGCAAAGGAGGCCTTCTTCCCTGCGCAGAAATTCCTTCTGGAAAAGCCCGGTCTTTTGGCCAGCCCTGGTAGGGGAGGCGGGATGCCCTCGGGGCTGAGGGGCTGGGGTGGGAGCTGCCCGTGGGTCTCCGGCCTCCTCCACGTCCTCAGACCACTGTCTTTAACACAAAGGGCAGGAAGATGATGGGTAAAAGGCAGGCACGTTGATTGAGCGCCTGCCTCATGCCTGGGGCTGAGCTGGTGGCCATCCACGGCTAAGCCAGTGGGCGACTGTCCCCTAAGGTGGGACACATGGAGACACCCAGCTCACTCAGACCCTCCCAAGGTCCCCGGAGGGCTCCCTCACGCCCCAGCCTTCGCAAGCCGCAGGGAGAGATCACAGGGGTCAAGGAGGGTGTTCACACCAACCCTAAGTGCAGACTGTTGGGAAAGGCCTGCCTTCCCCAGATCGCCCCTTCTCCCCACACAGTGGCCTCGTGAGCTTTCAGCCATGTGGCCTCAACCACACGTGTGCGCTGTCTCCACTTCCGCATCTGTGAAATGGGCAGTTACCGGCCCCATTAGGTGCTGGGCGGGTAGATAGGAACACACAGACAAGGCGCACGGGGGGAGCACTTGGGGAGTGGGCCGTCCTGCTCCGGGATGGGGATGAGTCCTCCCCGGGCAAAGTGCTGGGCCCGTAACAGGTGCTCGGCTAATGCACTTGGTGGGCGGGTTACCCCAGAACTGGCCTTTGGCCCAGGCCTTGCAGAATGGGGATTAGAGAAGGGCGAGGGGAGCGTGTGTGGCAGAAACACCAGTGGCGGTGCCTCACGCTGTCGGACGCCTATAGCACTTCTCCCCACCCCTCCTGCCCTCTCTCACTTCCTCTCCTTCCAAATCTCTTTCTGTATGTCTCTCTGCCTCTCACTGTCTCTCTGCCTCCCCCTCTCTCTCTGAACCTTTGTCGCCTTGTCTTTCACTCTTTCTGTCTCTGTCTGTCTCTGCCTTCTCCCATGTTATTTCTCTCCACCTATCTCCCTATCTCTGTTTCTCTCTGTGTCTGTCATTATTTCTCTCCCTATCTCTCTGCCTCTCTCTTCCCATCACTGTCTACCTGTCTTTTCTGTCTGTCTCTCTTCTCTTCCTCTGTCTGTCTCTCCTCTTTTCCTCTGTCTGTCTCGGTGTTCTAGAGGAGGACCCTTCGGAGGATGATTCCATCAAGGACTCTCTGGGCACGGAGCAGTCCTACCCGTCCCCTCCACAGCTCCCACCACCACCAGGGCCTGAAGACCCCCTGTCCCCCAGCCCAGGGCAACCCTTGCTGGGCCCCAGCCTGGGCCCCGATGGCCCTCGGACTTTCTCACTGTCCCCCTTCCCCAGCCTGGCTTCAGCAGAGAGACTGACAGGGGAGACCCTGCTGTCCAAGCACATGATGCCCCCGACTGCCTTCAAGGGGGAAGCAGGAGGCCTGCTAGTGTTCCCCCCAGCTTTCTATGGCGCCAAGCCCCCCGCGGCCCCTGCTACCCCAGCCCCTGGCCCTGAGCCGCCCGGGGGTCCTGAGCCAGCAGAGGGGGGCGGGGGCAGCGTGGCCACGGCAGGGGCTGGAGCAGAGGAGGAGCAGCTGGACACGGCGGAGATCGCCTTCCAGGTGAAGGAGCAGCTGCTCAAACACAACATCGGGCAGCGCGTGTTCGGCCACTACGTGCTGGGGCTGTCCCAGGGCTCGGTCAGCGAGATCCTGGCCCGGCCCAAGCCCTGGCGCAAGCTTACGGTGAAGGGCAAGGAGCCCTTCATCAAGATGAAGCAGTTCCTGTCGGACGAGCAGAACGTGCTGGCGCTGAGGACCATCCAGGTGCGGCAGCGAGGTGGGTGCTGGCCGAGGGCCTGTCTCAGCCACCCGTGTTCTCAGCCGTCTCCCCGGGCCAGCCCCGGGCGTGGGGCTGTTGAGGGCTGAGGACACGGCTCGCAGCTCAGAGCCGGAGTCTGCCCCCTCCCAGCTGTGTGACCTGGGGCAAATGACTTTGCCTCTCCGTGCCTCAGTTTCCTGCCTGTGTAAAATCAGAGAAACCATCCTCAATCCCTCCCTCCTGGGGCTCCCTGTCCCGTGCATCCGGCTGGTGCTGTGGTGCAGTTCAGGCTGATAATGGTGGGGAGAGGCCGGGCCCCTGGGGCTCCCTCAGCACGTACCCCGTAAGCACTTCCAAGCCTCAGTTAACCCATCCATAAGGCGACCGGGGTGACCCCCCCCCAACCGTGACAGACTCAGTTTTTAGAGTAATCCATGTGAAGGGCCCAGGTTTTGACCCCACAGACACCTGAGTTTGTGTCCCAGCTCTGCCATCATCTGCTTGGTGACCTCAGGCAGCTCTCTTTAGCTGCTCTATGCCTCAGTTTCCCCATCTGTCAGCCTCCTAAAGAGAGTTAAATGAGCATAAAGCATGTAATAACTCCTTGAGAATTGCTAGCTATTTTCTTTTCTTTCCTTTTTTTTTTGGCCACACCTTGGGGCATGTGGGATGTTAGTTCCCCCACCAGTGATCGAATCTGCATCCTCTGCCGTGGAAGCACAGAGTCTTAGCCATTGGACCACCAAGGAAGTCCTAAGATAACTGTTCACTTTGATGGTGGCTGCCTTCATTGGGTTTTGTTGTTATTTCAAGCTGAAATCTCTTGGGGGTCCACAGTTTGTCACACGAACTCACAGTCTGGCTCTCGCTCTCCCAGCCCTGGGAGGAAGACACCAGCCTGTCACCCTGCCCAGCACCAGGGACTGACCCCCAACATGCAGTCCCTACAACAGATGCCTCCTTTCCTCCCCCAGGCAGTATCACCCCAAGAATCCGCACGCCAGAGACCGGCTCGGATGACGCCATCAAGAGCATCCTAGAGCAGGCCAAGAAGGAGATCGAGTCACAGAAAGGGGGTGAGTGTGGCCACAGCAGGTGAGGCCCGAGGCCTCCAGGGCCTATCCTGAGCAGGAGGCGAGGCTGTGTCCACCCCAGAGGGGATTCCAAGCAGGTTTGAACCTCTTTTCCTTTTTCACAACCTGCAGCCAAGTGAGGTCTAGGCCTGAAAAGTACCAGATCCATTATCCAGTATGGGAGCTATAAGCCATTTAACTACAGTTAAGTGAAATTGAAACCTCAGTTCTTCAGCCACAGTAGCCACATCGCACAGGTGACATCACTGCCGAGTTCTGTTGGGAGTGCTGCTCTGGGTTGCTTCAGGAGGCCCTGTGATCGGTTTTCACCAGGCGCTTGTCAGGCACCTAGACCTGAGCCTCACCATCTGACCATCCACCTCACCCTCCCTGCACTTGTACTTTCTGGTTCCCAATGAGATGCTGTTCCCCCGACTTCCTCCCACCTCTCTGACCGTACCTCCTCCACTTTCCCAGTGGGTGCCCACTCAGAACTCAGTGATTAAAAACACCAGATTGATCATCTTACAGTTCTGGAAGTCGGAAATCCAAAATCAGCTTCACTAGGCTATAGTCACGGTGTCGGCAGGGCTACGTTCTTTCTGGAGGCTCCTGGGGAAAATCCGTTCCCTTGTCTCTTTCAGCTTCTAGAGGGCATCCAGATTTTCTGCCTCCTGGGCCCTTCTTTCCTCTTAACATCATAGCATCTTTAGTCTCTCTCTGTCTCTGTCTCTATCATCTTTCTGCCTCCCTCTTATAAACACCATTGTGATTTCATGGGGCTCACCCAGATAACCCAGGATAATACCCTCATCTCAAAATTCTTAATCCTGATCATATCTAAAAATTCCCTTTTGCCATGTGAGGTAACATATTCACAGGTCCCAGAGGTTGGGATATGGATATGTTTGGGGATCATTATTTAGCCTATCACAGTGTGCTTTCTCCACCAGCCCCTCATGGGGTTCCCCCAGAACTCCACCCCAGGCCCTCTGACTTTCTTATTCTTCTTTTTTTTCTTATTCTTCTTAGATGAGTTAATTCACTCCTGGAAGTTTCAACAACCCTAACCCTAACCCCGTCCAGGGGTTACTTTTTTCAAGCTCATCCATCCCCCATCCCACCTGCCACCAGCCTAGTGAGCCATCGTCATCGCTTGCTGGGACTATTGCAGTAGCCTCTTTACTGGTCTTGCCAATGACCAGTCTTGCTGGTCTTTCTTTACTGGCCTAGGCCCTACTCCAGCTCATTCTCCACCCAGAGGCCACAGGGATCTTTCAAGAGGACCACATGTTCATGTTACTATTTGAAATCCTTCCATGGATCCCCATTACCCTCAGGATAAACTCTTATTCCCCAACAAGGGCTACAAGCCCTAGTATAGTCTTCAGACTCCTCTTGACCCCTCCATGCCTCTCACATGAACTGTTTATGCTCATGACCATCCTCATTCCTATTCTCTGTGCCCCTAATGCCATCTTCACCCCAGCCACCTTTCTGTCCGGCTCCTGCTCCTACTTTACAACTCCACTCAGAAGTCATCTCCTCCAGGAAGCCCCCAAATCCATCCTGGTGGATTGGAATCCACCCCTCCTCAGATCCCCCAAAATGACCCGTACTGTTTGGTGCAATGGAGCCTGAGTGACTTGGCTGCAAATTTTGCCTCCTCTATATATTAAACAGTGTGCTCTCTGGCAAATTACTTAGCTCTCTGTGCCTTCATTTTCTCATCTTTAAAATAGGTGCAGTATTTGTATTCCCTTCTCAAGGTTGTGTGGGGATCAAATGACATCAGGCATGGCAAGCACTCATCTGGGGTCCAGTATGTAGAAGGTGCCTGCCCCTGGAAAGTTAGCTGTCTTCATTACAGTATGTCTCCATTGTTGCATTTATTCATGTTACAAATGACTCTGCTGATGTGGCTGTCCCTCCCACTAGTGGGGAATGATTGCCACCAGGGACCTCTCACCTATCACATCCCTGCATCCAGCATGTGTAGTACAGCCAGTGTAGACCACAGCTGACTCAGAACTGGATGCCGGCTTCAGCACTCCCACTCCATTTTACAGTATCTGCTCCCCCCTGGTGGTGGCTTGGGGCAAGTGTCCCTATTCCCAAGTCTGCTGCTGGAAGCCGCAAATTTCCCATGGACCCCCCTTTTCCTGGTCCCTGGAAAGGAGAGAGAGAGATTAACCCTGCTGGGTGGGATCCTGCACTGCCACACCCAAATAATCTGCTGAGCCCCGACTATGTACACACTTAGTTATGTCTTCTTGGTCCATTCTGGTAGCAAAAGAGGCAGTCATTCAGTAAACGTTAAATGCCTACTGTGTGCTGGACAGAGCTTACACATGTAGATGAGACACAGTATTGGGGTGAAAAGAACCATGAGAAACAGTCTCATCTCACTCTCCCACTAAACAGGACAGAGGCCAAAGAGAGGGGGACATACTCACAGTTATTCAGAGACCAAAGGAGAACACGGGTCTCCTGACTCTGTGCAGTGCTCTCCCACTGGGAGGTCTGAATCAAGGTAGCAAAGAAATTAAAAAGATATCACAGAGGGAAACCTTTGCTCGAGTGGCCCAGTCAGGAGGTTTCCATTTAGGGTCTGTGAAAAGTTCAGCAAGAGGAAGAGTGCCAGGTTATCCCCCGATGTCCCTCATCGAAGTAAAGACTAAGCAGGGAGCAGTTAGCATCCCTCTGGGAAGGAAGTGAATGTGGCTGACACTAACGTGGGAGCTCTGCTTTTGGGGAACAAAGGAAATATTCAGAATGGGAACAAAAATTTATATGCAAGCTATCTCTTTATTGTTGTTTCCAACAGTGACAAAGTAAAAATAACCTAAGTGTCCAGCATCGGGGGGCTGGGTAACTAAAGCAGAGAGTATTTCTTCAGTGGCACATGCAGCCATTAAAGTTGGAAGAACTTCAAATCGTAGGAAAAAACACTCATGTTGATACTAAGTGGGAGCAAGCCAGGCCACACTGCCACATATCAAGTGTGACCATCCCGTGCATGTAGTTAGAAACCAGATTGGAAGGGAAAACCTGGGAAATTTTCATGTGATTACCACTGAGGGAAAGATCAGAGGGGATTTTCATTTTCATATTAAGTTTTTGTGCATTGTTAGCTCTCCAGATAGACATGTGTGACTTTTTTTAACAGAGGGGGATTTCTTGGGCCATGCTCGGCCTCTGTTGCTTTGCGTGGGCTTTCTCTAGTTGTGGTGAGCAGGGGCTACTCTTCGTTGCGGTGGCTTCTGTTGTTGCGGAGCACAGGCTCGAGGGTGCTCGGGCTCAGTAGTGGTGGCACCCAGGCTTAACAGCCCCACAGCATGTGGAGTCTTCCCAGGCCATGGTTCAAACCTGTGTCCCCCACTTTGGCAGGCGGATTCTTACCCACTTCACCACCAGGAATGTCTGCTTTTTTTTTTCTTGAGGTAAAATTCATATGACATAAATTTAACCATTTTAGAGTGAATAATTCAGTGGCATTTAGTGCCTTCACAATGCTTTGCAGCCACTGTTTCTGTCTAGTTCCAAAACATCTTCATCACCCCCAAAAGGAAACACTGCACCCATTAGCAGTCACTCCTCACGCCTCACCTCCCCTGAGCCCCAGGAAGCCACCAGTCTGTTTTCTGTGTCTGTGGCTCTCCTTGTTCTGGATATTTCATATGAGTGGAAACTGTACAACAGGTGGCCTTTTGTGTCTGGCTTCTTTCACGTCACGTAATGTTTTCAAGATTCCTCCACATGGTATCAGTGCGTCATTCCTTTTATGACTGAATAGTATTCCATTGCTCTATTGCTTTTTAAGTGGAAAAAGCAATAGAAATTATTTCTAATGGAGTTATGAGGATCCGCGGGGTGTAGACTGTACGAGATGGTAAAGGAAGGGCTGTGCTGATCTAGGTTGGTCCAGGGTTGGGGAGAGACCCCAGTGCAGGAAAGGCCACTAAGAGAGCAGAGGGAAGCACTGTCCTGCTGTTCCTTTGTGTTTGCCACTTGTAGAATTTTCACTAAGTAATGCATTGTTTATTTGGCTTGCTTTGCCGCTCAATAGAAAGCAGGTTATACTGTGTGTCCCCTTCTGGGACTTCCTTTTATTCGCAAAGGTGGATCACAGCATGTGTAAAAGCAAGTCTTCTTCTAACGTTACAGTATCCCCATCAGCGCTTTTTCCACATAAGCTAAAATCTCAATGTCCACCTGGTTTTTATCCCCAGATGCAGAGGTTGCCCCCAACACTTCACTGGTATAAATACTGTGCTGTCTTTGTCCTTCAAGCCATGCCCTGTCCACGGGCCTCCAGCCTCCTTGTCCCCTTTCCTACAGGAGAGCCCAAGAACTCAGCAGCCCCGCTGAGCATCACCAACGGCACAGCCCCTGCCAGTACCACCTCGGAAGACGCCATCAAGAACATTCTGGAGCAAGCACGCCGCGAGATGCAAGCGCAGCAGCAGGCCCTGCTGGAGATGGAGGCCGGCGCCCGGGGCCGCTCGGTGCCTCCCTCGCCCCCAGAGCGGCCCTCACTGGCGGCCGTGAGCCAGAACGGGGCCCCGACGCTCGTCAAACAGGAGGACAGCGGTGTCGGCAGCGGGGGAACCAGCAGCAGCGGCACGCAGACCTCCCTCACGGTCCTGTCCCCCGCCGCCTTCGTGCAGAGCATCATCCGGAAGGTCAAGTCGGAGATCGGCGACGCCGGCTATTTCGACCACCACTGGGCCTCGGACCGCGGCCTGCTCAGCCGCCCCTACGCCTCTGTCTCGCCCTCACTCTCCTCCTCCTCCAGCTACTCCGGCCAGCCCAATGGGCGGGCCTGGCCTCGTGGGGACGAGGCCCCTGCTGTCCCCGAGGACGAAGCGGCGGGGAGCGAGGACGAGCCCCCCAGAGTGGGCGAGCTCAAGGCTGAGGGGGGAGGCCCTGAAGGGGGCGGCGGTGGGCGCCTGGCCTACTACCCAGCCTACGTGCCCCGCACGCTGAAGCCCACCGTGCCGCCCCTGACCCCCGAGCAATACGAGCTCTACATGTACCGCGAGGTGGACACCCTGGAGCTGACGCGCCAGGTCAAGGAGAAGCTGGCCAAGAATGGAATCTGCCAGAGGATCTTCGGGGAGAAGGTGAAGATGGTGGGGTTTGCCCCTGGAGGCTCAGGGGGCCTGGAGCCACGGGACCCGGGTAGGGAGGACACCTATGCCGTGTCCATGGCCTGGAAAGAAGGGTGTGTGTGAGTGTGTGTATGTGAGCAAGAACTGAGCAGAAGCAGGATTCAGACCCAGATCTGAGTGACCCCAAAAGCCCTTTTTCCTGTCCCTGGGCAGTGGGGAAAGGGGAGCCACGGACAAGTCTGGTGTTCAGTTCTGTGGTTTTTAAAGTTGTGAAAATAAAGTTGTGAAAAGCTTCCATCTGGTTAGGTGATAGCCACCTACCCCCCTCCTCCAGTAACCTTCAACCTTCCCATGGTCCATTCCACTTAAGTGTTAAGGCTCAGCCCAGCTTGGAGGAATGGGAAACGCAACATTGGAAGGCTTCCTGGAGGAGGAGGCGCTTAAGGGGTCTTAAGAGTCCAAGTAGGATTTTTAGATGGGCTTCCCTTGTGGCTCAGCTGGTAAATAATCCGCCTGCAATGCGGGAGACCTGGGTTCTATCCCTGGGTTGGGAAGACCCCCCTGGAGAAGGGAAAGGCCACCCACTCCAGTGTTCTGGCCTGGAGAATTACGTAGCCTATAAGGCAGTCTGGAAGGGCACTGCAGGTGGAGGGCGCAGCACAGGCCCACAAACAGGCATTCGGAGAGTGAAGATCACGTGAAGGCAGCCCTCTCCTCTCGGAACAGGAGTGAGCAGTGGGCCTGAGGGTCTGGGGAGGAGAGGTGGAGGGGGTGGCCAGGACCTGCTGACCCAGCCTTCCCGCCCTGCCCATCCCCAGGTGCTGGGCCTGTCACAGGGCAGTGTGAGCGACATGCTGTCCCGGCCGAAGCCGTGGAGCAAGCTGACGCAGAAGGGGCGGGAGCCCTTTATCCGCATGCAGCTGTGGCTCTCAGACCAGCTTGGCCAGGCCGTGGGCCAGCAGCCCAGCGCCTCCCAGGGTGAGTGCAGATGGGGCCCCGAACCGCCGAGAGGCCTCACTCCTCCAGTCTGTGCTGTGGCTTCACTGCCCAGGTCTCCGTTCCCCTGCCCCACCCCACTGCTGCCCGGAAAGAGTCCTGGTTGCTCCTAGTTGGTGTCCCTGCTCCCCTTTCATCCTTCCCTCAGCCAGACTGACCTCTAGGTGGCGCCAGAGTGCCTAGACTGAGCGGGAGTGGTGGGCTGGGGGTGGTGCCCACCTTACCATCCGGAGTCAGATGTCTGCTGATCGGTCTCTTTTTGCCAGCAATCCAGCTTGCAGCCTCAGAATCCTTCTTCGCACCGAGCCTTTGGGTTTATATTAACAAATTTCCATCAGGCACCAGTTAAATACATTGAGGAAGAATCCCCTTCACTGGAAGGTGCCCTGTGGACCAGCACAGGATTTCTAAACACGCACCTCCCCATTAGGGACACGTCCCCAGGCATGTCCCCTGCCCTCCCTGGACTGTCCAGCCGCTCAGCCCACGCTGGAAAATCCAGTGAGTGAGTGACTCTTGATTCCTCAGGAGGTGACCCCCATTATCTCATGGAGTCCTCTCTATGGCCCTAAGCAGGGTAGTTGCAAGTATAGCACCGCTTGTATTATTGGCCCCATTTAACGGGTTCAGGAACTGAGGTTCGATAAAGTCATCCTACCCAAGATACCTTCTAAGTGGTTTTCTAATATGTATTTGCAAAAATGTCTTATGAAAAATGTGGTTTTAGGGTAATTACCATTTTATTATAGTGAGACTATTAAAGCTGTATTCTCACAGCAACTGTCAAGTATATACATATATAATAGCATTAACTACAGTCACCATGCTGTGTATCAGATCCCAGAACTTACTCGTCTTATATGCATCTTTTCATTACATTATTATTGATTGCTCTGGGGACTCACTGTATTTTACTTACCTAACTCTGGCAGTTGGACTTATCGGTCATTGCCAAGTCCTTTTTTTTTCCTCTTAACTTTTAATTTTGATGTAATTTCTAATTTACCAAAGAGTTAAAGCAGTAGACCAACCAACTTCCTATATCCTACATACCGATTCACCAGTTAGTAATTTTGCCATATTTATGCTCTTTCTCTCAATCATTTAAGAGGTTAATTGAAGACAGCATGTCCCTTTACCCCTAAATATTTCAAAAGTATTTACCAAGAATGAGAAATTTTACAATAATACTATACTGCTATGTAACCCACCATTTATATTCCAAGTTTCTTCAGTTGTCCCAATAATCACCTTTATATAATTTTATCTTTCCCTGTCCAGGTCAAATTCAGGATCACTTGTATTTAGTCATCATGTCTCTTTAGTCTCTTTCAATTTGGACAGTTCTGCCTCTCCCTAAAGTTTTTTAGTTTTGACGTTTTTGAAAACTGGAAGCCAGTTATGTTATAGACTGATGCTCAGTTCAACTTTGTCTGATGTTTCCTCGTGGTTAGATTCAAGCTGTGCACTTCGGGCAGGAATATCCCAGAAATGTTGCTCTGTCCTTCTCAGTCCATCATATCAGGAGTCACCAGCTGTTGATTTGTCCTGTGATTGGAGGTGCTAACTTCAATCACTAGATTAAGGTGGTGTTGGCAGACAGCTGTACTTGTAAAGTTGCTATTTTTCCCTTTGTACTTAACAAGTATCTTGTGGGGAAAAAAAATAAGTATCTTGTGGGGAGATACTTTGGGACTACGTGGATATCTTTTTCCTCCTCCAACTTTCATCTACTGGTTTTCATAGCCAGGATGGTCCCTGCCTGAGATTTTACTGTGATAGTTGCAAAATGGGTTGTTGCCAACAGACTATAACAAACAAGCCTGCCCAAACCATGCATGTCTATGCCAGATTGCAGTAACTGCCTTCTCTGTCTCTCTGCGGCCCACAGTCAGTCCCACTGAACCAAGGTCCTCGCCATCCCCACCCCCTAGTCCCACGGAGCCACCGGAGAAGAGCTCCCAGGAGCCCCTGAGTCTGACTCTGGAGAGCAGCAAGGAGAACCAGCAGCCAGAGGGACGCTCCAGCTCATCACTGAGTGGGAAGGTTTACTCGGGCAGCCAGACTACAGGGGGCATCCAGGAGATTGTGGCCATGTCCCCCGAGCTGGACACGTACTCCATCACCAAGAGGGTCAAAGAGGTCCTCACAGACAACAACCTAGGTACAGGGTACTGGGAGTCAGGGATGCTGCCTCTTGCCCTGCTCGGCTCCCCCTTGCCTTAAGGAAAGACCATGGTGAGATCCCAGGCACTGGGGTCCCTTCTGCACGTGCTGCTCAGCCCTGGGCCACCCAGGGCCCCTGGGGGGGCATCTGACTCTGAACTGGGTCTCTAGAGTGGACAGCAGGGAGGCCAGTATGCTGTCCTCCTCAAGTTCTTAGCCCACAGCTTTCAAAACTTCCTTCCAGGAGGACTTAGAGAGTCCCAGTAAGATTCTAACTCAGTCCTCATCCAACGCTGGGGTCCAAGGGAGAAATCTGGATTCTTTAATTTTTTGAATCACAAACTCCTCCACGTCTCAGATGGGAGTCAAGTCTCCCTCCCAGATTCACACAAACCCCAACTTTTCACTACAATTTCTATAATAAAAATAAGGTATCACTATTTGAAAATGCCAAACAATACAGAAAAAAAAAGTTAAAATTTAAACAAATAAAATCTCCCCTAACCTCCCAGTCATATGCCACAGTTTTTCTGTATCTTTGATATTTTCTGAACACATACAAAATTGTATGTTCGCCTAGTTTCTTCTCTTCTTCTTTCTAGATAGATGAAATTACACACAGGCTGTCCTTCCACTTGCTTTTTAAAAACTAACACTGTTCTGCGGATCTTCTTCCACCTTAGAATGAATAGCCCACCTGCAGTCTTTGTCACTGTTGCAAAATTTTTAAGGCCATGAATGCCCCACATTTTTTATGCAGCTGATGAGCATTTTGCTTGTTCCCAATTTCTTGCTGCTTCTGAAACCACATCCACATGCGTCTTTGTGCCCTTGGGCAAGTACAACTGGAGGAGAAATCCCAGGCAGTGGAATTGCTGGATCAGAGGGTTTGCACATTGAAATTTTGATAGAATCTATCAAATTACTGTCTGACAAGGTGATACTTATTTATGTACATGAAGTTTGCAGACAACGTCAGGGATCCCCTAGGAGTGAATAACATCTAAATCATGACAGCATTTTTGTTTGGTAGCTATCTGCCTGCCCCCACCTCCTGTTTTGCAGAAAGTTCCCCAGATGCACACAGGCGTGGGCCCCCCGCTGTGTCTGGTCCTCCCTGCTGAGTTAGTGGAGACATTCCCTGGTTTCTGCCTGTCCCTTGTCTCTCCCGGGAGCACCTGTGCCCAGCCTGGGGTAACAGGTCGTCCCCCTCCTCCCCTGTCCCCAGGGCAGCGGCTCTTCGGGGAGAGCATCCTAGGGCTGACCCAGGGCTCCGTGTCTGACCTGCTCTCCCGCCCCAAACCCTGGCACAAGCTGAGCCTGAAGGGCCGGGAGCCCTTTGTGCGCATGCAGCTGTGGCTCAACGACCCCCACAACGTGGAGAAGCTGAGAGACATGAAGAAGCTGGAGAAGAAAGGTAAGCCCTGGGAACTCTGGGCCTGGCCTCAAGTTTTCCTATTGGAACCGTAAAAAATAAACCCAGGGTCCCAATGGTCCAGTCTTACCCTAGTGTAGGTTGCAAGAAATAGCCATTCCATGGAACATAATTGCAAGTCATTAAAATGTTTAATACTTTTCCCCTGAAAATTCCCATACGCCGTCTCTCTCAGCATCCTTCCACAAACCCATAGCCATTCCAGGGTCTCCTGCATATTCCCCAAACACCCCCCCCCCCTCTGATCTCTCCATCCTCTGCATCAGAGTCCTATTATATTACCCCCTTTGCCCATCACCTGGATTCTACACAACAAAGCACAAAATTGACCCAGCAAATGATAACTCCCCCCTTACAGGACCGGACAAGAAATTGCAGGTTCTTACACTGTCTGACAGTGTTTTATATCCCTGAAAAATTGAACTGGCAGTGAGCACCTGCTTTGTGGCCCAGCCAGTCTCATGCTTTGTGCGTAAGGGATTCCCAGGTCTAAGAAAGCTCAAGATCCAGTTGGGAGATAAGATTTGAGGAGTTGGAAAGTTGTCAGCTGGGCCCCAAGTCATGACGAGGGCACAGGGGGCAGGATCAAGTCTGGCTGTGGGCATCAGACAGCGGTGCAGTTGAGAACTTGTCCTGCCGCTTGCCGGCTGTGTGATCTGGGCAAGTTACTTCCCTTCTCTGTGCCTCATTCCACTTCATCTGAAAGTAAGAGTCATAGCATCTACCTCAGGGCATTGGTGTGAGGATTAAATGGGACCCAGTACCTTACTTCCTCCATTCTGGGGTGGGCTTCCCCCCAAATGCACACACATTTTGATGATTTGAGGCTGAGATGCATCATGCAATTACTATGTTCATTTAAAATTAACGTCCTAGAGCCTGGCAGGGGCCAAGGGCGAAAGACTCTGCACCACTTTCTGCATCTGTACCACCTCCGCACCAAACCCACAGACTCCACAGACAGCTCCAGAGAAAGCTGTGAAAACAGGAGAGAAAAATCTTAAAACTAATGTCTTCCCCCTGCCCTCCAAAAAACTGGTGAAATTCAGGGACACTTCTGACAATCGAGAATGCTGCAGAACCCCCTTTTTTGAGTACTTCCTGTCTGTGAGGGCAGCCCTCCACACATGTTAACAATTAGCGTGTTAATGACCAGGTGTGGGCAGGTGAGCGTCTCACGTCTCACGAGGAGGACGTGGAAGGAGAAAAGACTGAGACTGGGCCGGGGTCCCCACGTTTGGGGCACAGAGGGCTCTGAGGACGGCTGGCTGGTGCTCAGTTCAGCTTGAGCCCCCTCCTCGGTTCAGGGGAGCCTCTAGTCGGCCCCCCTCAGCCCTCCCTCCCTCCCTCCCCCGCCCCAGCCTACCTGAAGCGCAGGTACGGCCTCATCAGCGCTGGCTCAGACAGTGAGTCTCCAGCCACCCGCTCCGAGTGCCCCAGCCCCTGCCTGCAGCCCCAAGACCTGAGCCTCCTGCAGATCAAGAAGCCCCGAGTGGTGCTGGCCCCCGAAGAGAAGGAGGCGCTGAGGAAGGCCTACCAGCTGGAGCCCTACCCCTCCCAGCAGACCATTGAGCTCCTCTCCTTCCAGCTCAACCTCAAGACCAACACCGTCATCAACTGGTTCCACAACTACAGGTAGGGATGGGGGGCAGGGCGCCTGGTGGCCCCTGGGACGGTGGGCAGGGGTCTCAGCCGGCGCCCCCCACTTCCTCATCCAGGGCCTGGAGGGAGCCCATCATGGCCTCTGGGAAACGAGGTGGCCATGTTGCTGGGTGTTTAGCTTTATAACGTAGGCAAACCCGGATGTAAGTCCCAGCTCGACAGTGTTCATCTTGTGCGGCCTGGGCAAGTGACTTCACCTCCCAGAGCCTCAGTCTTCCAACCCATAAAATGAGAATTATAATGGGATCTACTTCATAGAGTTGCCTTGAGGATTTGATGCGGCTAACATACTTACAGAAAATAACCTGGCACATAGGAGGTGGCAGGCGTTGACGTCACTGTTGTCGCTGCCGGTGTTATGGATTCACCAGCTTGCTCCGCGTCTGCCTCTACAAGGGACGGGGGTGGTGTTTGGGGCACAGGCCCGAGGTTCCCTAACTACCCACTGAGCCTTGCGTCAGTGCCCTGATTTGGGGCGCCTCCCACTCCCGAGGCGGAGCAAACCCTTGTGGCAGCCCCTCTGAGTGGGTGATTCCTAACGGAAGCGGTGCCTCCTCCCACTCACCAGCCCCTCATCGCCGGAGTGGCTGACCTGCAGGGCACTGGGCTGCCTCGGGGCACAGACTGGGTGCACCGTTCCCAAGCAGACCGCAGAAGGGCTTCCTGAGAACCCCGAAGACAAGGCCTGATGCAATTTCAAGGACCATCCCTCTGAGGCGCTCCCCACCAAGCCTCCTGAGCAAGAAATGTCTCTGATGTCCCTGTGGTGCCAGAGAGGAGAGTCTCTTGATCCCTGAGAGAAGAGAAGGGAGGAGCCTGGAAAGATGGAACACCTGAAATCTCTCTCCACAGCCCAGGCATGGGCATCACACAGACCCGAGTTCAAATCCCACCTTGGCTGTGTGTTATTGGGCAAATCACTGTACCTTTCTGAGTCTCATCCCTATTTTACAGATAAGGAGCTTAAAATTTACCCCACAACAGTGAATTGAGAATCAAATTAAAAACTACAGGCATAAACACAATGTAAAATATTGCTTATATCTTGCTTAGACCCAGAACCTGCCAAACGGCAGATGATATAGGTCCTTAAAGCCTAACACCCTCCTTCCCTTCCAGGCATTCTCTCCCCTCTTGTTTTCCACAGGAACATATCCCTCCATTATAATCCAGCATATTCATTTCAGTTAATATTTGCCATGTATATGCAGTGAGCCAGGGTTGGGAGATACAGGGGTTCAAAGCCATCATCCCTGTGCTTAGAGAGTTTAAAATCACAAACCAGATAATTTCATGACAAGCTAATAAATGCTGTGAAAACAAGAAGGAATAAAGAACTAAGGGAAAAGGGAATTCTACCTAGGGAAAATTTTTGAGAGGTGGCATTTCAGCTGGACTTTGAAGAAGTAGAATTTCACTCCCCCAAAAAACTACTCTCAAAGAGCTATAATTATAGAAGAATACATTGCTTCATTTAGTAAGTGTTTATTGAGCACCTACTCTGTCCCAAGTACCAAAGAGAATGAGGCAAAGTCCTTAGCATCTCTCACAGACCAGCAGGGATGGTGACTATTAAATGAATTCTTATATTAATGTATTATTACACATTTCAGTGAGCTCTGGGAAAAGTGAAAAATAGGATGGTTTGAGAAAAAATTACTGGGAAGGACCTGCTATAGATTTGGGAGTCAAGAATTGAAGAAAAGGACTAATTTTTACTATGTTGTAAATGAATATTAGCCAGATATTTATATTTGATCCACAGTTTGGAAGTTCTAATGATAAAGCTTCAGGCAATTGACCTATTCCAAAACACCCTAGCACTCCCCTGGTCCCACCAATTCTTCCCTCTAGAGGGAACTGAAGGAGAAGACAGAGTCTCCTGAGAGGTGGGCAAGGCCACCTTTGTGGAGGGACTAGGAACTGAGAGGTGAAAATGAGCCAGATCACCGATGATCGTCCCTCCAGGCTCAGGATCCTGGGATGGAGCCCCATCCCCGACCTGGGCAGGGAGGCAGGAGAGTGTAGTCAGGCAGCTGGGTTCAGAGCCCAACTGCGCTGCTTGCGGCTCTGTGACCGTGGCAGTCCTGAGCCCCTCTGAGCCTTGTCATCTTTGTTGGTGGGCATAAGACTAGTCTGCCCCTCATAAGGTCATTATGAAAAATAAATAATCTGCAAAAAGTGCTTGGTCCAGTATCTGATATGTGATAAGCACTAATTATGATGTTTATCACTGAAATTTATAAATTTATTTTATATCAGTAACATGTACTTTATTATTATTAAATAATAATATATGATGTCATCAACTAAAAAGGGATACAGCATTGAAGATACTTAAAAAGTCCTTGGACAACTGACTTGACCTCTCTGGACCTCGTGTTATTAGGGAAATAATTAATGGAGTTAAACCCATCCTAGCCTTTCCTGCCCTAAAATATAATAAATGAGACCAAGTTTCCCTCTGACAGCAGGGAGGCCACTGAAGTGAAGAGAGGACGGGTTCTGGACTGAATTCAGTGCACCCGGGTTCTGGGCCCAGCTCTGCCTCTGTGTGCCTTGGTGACCTAGACAAGTTATTCTCCGGGCCTCCGTTTCCCCTTCTGGGCTGATGTCAACAAGTCCTTCCAGGAAAGAAGCAGGGAGTTATTACCACAAACTAGATCTGCTTTTGACTTTGAGAAATGCTCTAGAGCAGCACTGTCCAATAGAAATACAACAAAAGCCACATATATAATATAAAATTTTCTAGTAGCCACATTGAAGAAAAATTGAAAAATAAAATTAAACAAAAAGAGACAGATCTATGACAAAAACTACTGTAATGATGTAAAGTAATTAGCCTCCAACTAATAAAAATAAATGGGAAAAAAAAAAAAAGAGACAGATGAAAGTAATGTAATAGTACCCACTCCAGTATTCTTGCCTAGAGAATGCCACGGACAGAGGAGCCTAGCGGGCTACAGTCCCTAGGGTCGCAAAGAGTCGGACACGACTAAGCACACATGCATATTTTATTTAGCCCAGTATATACAAACGCAGGGCTTCCCTTGTAGCTCAGTTGGTAAAGAATCTGCCTGCAGTACAGGAGACTCAGGTTCAATCCCTGGGTTGGGAAGATCCCCTGGAGAAGGAAATGGCAACCCACTCCAGTATCCTTGCCTAGAAAATCTCATAGACACAGGAGCCTGGCGGGCTGCAGTCCATGGGGTCGCAAAGAGTCGGGCACGACTGAGCAACGGACACTTATACAAATGCAACCATTTCAACATGCAGCCAGTATAACAACTGTTAACAATGAGAGAGCCACGTGTGACCAGTGGCTGCTGCACTAGGCTGCACAGGTCTAGATCGTGAGCTCCTTTGGAATCCAACAGCCCTGAGTTCAAGTCCTGGTTCTGCCACTTACTAGCTGTGGAACTGGGGCATATCACCCAGCATCTCTGAGCCTTGTTTCCGCCTCTGAAGTGGGGATGATGATAGCCCACCATGTGGAGTTGTTGAGAGGGCTTACTAGGATGCTGCATGCGAAGAAGCTTATGCAAAGTGAGCCCCCAGGGAAGTGGGTGGGGGTCACAGGGCCACTCATGTGATTTGACTTCAGGGTTAGCTGTCCCCTCCAGCCCCTTGCTCACCGCCGTCTCTGCCCCAGGTCCCGGATGCGCCGGGAGATGTTGGTGGAGGGGACCCAAGAGGAACCAGACCTCGACCCCAGTGGGGGTCCTGGCAGCCTACCGCCAGGCCACTCCCACCCAGACCCCACCCCACAGAGCCCCGACTCGGAGGCCGAGGACCAGAAGCCTACGGTGAAGGAACTAAAGCTTCAGGAGGGTCCCGAGGAGAGCGTCACCCACCTGACCTCCCAGGAGAAGACTCCAGTGAGGATTAAGCAGGAACAGACTGAGGAGGCCGAGGAACAAGCCTGCAGCCAGGACTCAAAGGAGCCGGACAAAGGCCAAGGCTCCCCCCGAGAGGTGCATCCTGACCCTCTGGGTGATGACGGACTCCCCAAAGCAGCCCCAGGGCTCCTCCTCCCAGGCGGGACCACCCCAGCCTGCCCCTCGCTGCACCCCCTCCCGGAGAGTGAGGGCGGGGAGCGGCTACACCCGGACCCCCTAAGCTTTAAGTCCGCCTCAGAGTCCTCCCGCTGCAGCCTGGAGGTGTCGCTGAACTCGCCCTCGGCCGCCTCCTCGCCAGGCCTCATGATGTCCGTGTCGCCTGTCCCTTCCTCCTCAGCCCCCATCTCCCCATCCCCACCCAGCACCCTGCCTGCCAAGGTGCTGAGTGCCAGCCCCACCGCCGACACAACCGCGGCCTTGCACCCCAGCACCAAGGTGAACCCCAACTTGCAGCGGCGGCACGAGAAGATGGCCAACCTGAACAGCATCATCTACCGGCTGGAGAGGGCTGCCAATCGGGAGGAGGCCCTGGAATGGGAGTTCTGAAGGTGGAGGCGAGGGGCGCGCCGGGGGGCCACCGGCTGTCCCAGACAGGACGGGGCCTGGAAGGGAGGCGCTGGCGCAGCCATCACAGCGTGGACAGCAGCTTCACGGCCCCGCCGTTTTCCGTTTTTGTTGCAATCTGAGCTCTATGAAGTCACGAGTGAGCAGGTAGGGCCGGAGCCCCTGCCGCCTCTTTACGACTCCCCCCGGCCCCAGGGAGCACCATCTTCTCCCTGCTGGCCTCTCTACCAGAGGCAGAAGCAAAGTGGAGCCACATTTTCACTTGGAAGCTCCAAACTCTTTTAGAAAAATAAATATTTATAGACCACTTTTAGATATTTTAATAAAGGATCCTTTGGAATTTATTCCCAGCTAATGCTGTTTTGATATTAACAGAGAGTTATAAAATCAGGATGCTGTCACAACTGTTGCGAAGTATACACTGAAGTTGTGTCGTTTTTTTTGCCACTAGATGAGATTAAAAGGAGAGAATTGTTCAAAGCCATCACAAAACACTAAGACTGACCAAAATCTAGATAACCTTTGAACCACGGTTCATTTTTTTCCATGTCTGTCTGTGAGACACAGTGCATTGCTACTGCCCTTCCAGAAACCATGTTGAAAAGACCAAGTCCAAACGACTCTAAAGGAAAACTTCGATGCCGTGAGGGTGTGTTTCATTCCGGTGGTCTGTTTCGCAACCTTGACAACACAGAATGTCTTGTGCTGTTGTAAGTATTGTAGAGACGTGGGCTGTGGCCAGCCATCCCCTCTGAGCTGTAACATGGTACAACACAGGCCGCTTACGCTCCCTCTCGTCAGGAACCTGTGGACCACAGCGGGTGGATATCCCATCTCGTCCACCTGAAAGGCAAGACGTGGTTCCAGATCCTTTGGAAAGCCCGGTACGGGGGCGAGAGGTTAGAGGGTAGTGCTTGAACCAGAGTGACGCCATTCCTCAACCTGAATCGTGGCCACAGCATGGGAAGTTTCCCTATTGGCTTTCCAGAGCAAGACTGTGGCTGCCATCTTTCCCCTCCTTGTGTTTGAAGAAAATAACAGTGTTGGTCATCCCACAAGCATCCAGCTCAGCACCCCACACCAAAAAATAGATTCATCAGACTAGAGACCCCCAACTCCTCTCTCATCATCTTCCTTCTCAAGTTGACCCTGGTGCTTTCTGGAAAGCATCTGCACCTCCAGGTTTGTGCGGAATGAAGCTCAAAGGTTTGAGTTCACTGCAGCATGACCACTACATCCCAGTCTCCAAGTCCAGCCTCCTGTCTTCTAACACATGACCTTCTTGAGAACAAAGACTCAGCACCCCAACTCAGAGAAGCCCTCCCTCCAGCGTCTTTATCATCTTGGTTTTTAGGGGGAGAGCTCTCAATCTGGATGGACCAGCCACCATACCCTGTCACCAACACAGCAGCACCCCTGTCCTAGCTGTGTAACTAGGGCCTCAGTCTCCCCATCTGTAAAATGGGGATATCACAGCAGCCATATCGGCTCCATCCAGAATGACAATGAAAAGGTGGTCGTCATGCTGCCAACCCAGTACCAGAGGGAGAGATGGCTGACAGGGATTTCAAGGATGCAACAAATATCTTGAAACCCAGGCCAACAAATTCCATTGAGCAGAAGGGATCAGTTGAGGGCCGTTCAGAAATCTCAACTCTCATGCACCCAGCCCAGGCTGCAGTCTCCACACCAGTCATAAAGAACAACACAGACCCTGCTGGAAAACCTTTTCCATACACCCAGGCTATGCATTGAAGAGTTTTCCACTGTATACATTTTTATCCAGATGAAGGTATTTTTATATTTTGACAGTAGGAAACAGTGACCAATTTTCAGAGTAATCAAATCTGGAACAAATGAAAAATCTCCTTTTAGCCACCACCACCCTGTCCCAACTAAGGCAATCGTGGGAGACACACCACTTTTTACTGTTGAAAGCCACACAACACTGAAATCCAGGCTTACATGCAGACTGCAGTTCTTAAAGGACTAAATCTGGCTTTTGTGTGACGGGATTTGATTAAGCACTTAGCATATAGTCTTTTGAACATGGAAAATCCTGTTATACTTAAAGCTGGCAGACCTGTGAACAACTTTGTCAGGTTCATGTCCTGTAACGGTAAACAGAACAAAAACCCACAAAACCGTTTCTATGAGAGATTGATGAACTTTGTTTAAATTAAAAAGAAAAAAAGGAACACGTTCTGTAATAAACGCGTCGCTCAATACAGAATTGTATAATAATGTCTGGGTGTCCTGTTTCCTTTGTTCTGGAGTTGGGGCTGCAAATTAGGGGTCAGATCTCCCCTTGGGTGTTTTACAGAATGGTGTTTTTAAAATTCATTTGCCACCACTAAAATATGGGGGCTTGTCAGGTAAAAACCATGATTTTTTTTTGTATTTATATGTTCTTTTTTAAATTTTCATTTAATACTGGAATATAGTTGATTAGCAATGTGTTATTTTTAGGTGTACAGCAAAGTCAGTTACACATGTGTCTATTCTTTTTCAAATTTTTTTCCCACTTAGGTTATTATGGAGTATTGAGCAAAGTTCCCCATGCTATTCACTAGGTTCTTGTTGGTTATCTGTTTTAAATATAGCAGTGTGCACATTCAGTCCCAAACTCCCAGTCTATCTTTCCCCACTCCCTTCCCCTCTGGTAATCATAAGTTCATTCTCTAAGTCTGTATGTCTCTGTTTTGTAAATAAGTTCAATTCTATCATTTTTTTAGATTCTGCATATAAGTGATATCATATGTCTTTCTCTGGCTTGCTTCATTTAGCATAATAATCTCTAGGTCTATGCATGTTGCTGCAAATGGCATTATTTCATTCCTTTTTATGGATGAGTAATATTTCGTTGTATATATGTACCACATTTTCTTTATCTATTCATTTGTTGGCCATTTGGGTTGTTTCCAGTCTTGGCTATTGTAAACAGCATTGCGACAACCATTGGAGTTCTTGTACCCATTTGAACCATGTTTTTCTCTGGATATATGCCCAGGAGTGGGATTGCTGGATCATGTGGTAGCTCTGTTTTTAGTTTCTTAAGGAATCTCCATACTGTTCTCCATAGTGGCTGTACCAATTTACATTCCCACCAACAGTGTAGAAAGGTTCCCTTTTCTCCACACTCTCTCCAGCATTTATTGTTTGTAGACTTTTTGATGATGGCCATTCTGACTGGTGTGAGGTGATATCTCATTGTAGTTTTGATTTGCATTTTCCTAATAATTAGTGACATTGAGCATCTTTTCATGTGCCTGTTGGCCATCTGTATGTCTTCTTTGGAGAAATAACTACTTAGGTCTTCTGCCCTTAGGTTTTTTTTGATTGGGCTGTTTGTTTTTCTGATACTGAACTGTATAAGCTGTTTGTAAATTTTGGAAATTAATCCCTTGTTGGTAGTAATCCTAGTTTGCAGATATTTCCTCCTGTTCTGTGGGTTGTCTTTTCGTTTTGTTTATGGTTTCCTTTGTTATGCAAAAGCTTTTGAGTTTAATTAGGTCCCATTTGTTTATTTTTGTTTTTATTTCCATTACTCTAAGAGACATTCAAAAAAGATATTGCTGTAATTTATGTCAGAGTGTTCTGCCTATGTCTTAAGAGTTTTATAGTATCTGGTCTTAGACTTAGGTCTTTAATCCATTTTGAGTTTATTTTTGTGTAGAGTGTTAAAAAATGTTCTACTTTCATTAAAACTTGAGGTTACTGGGCTCCAGTATGACAACAGCTAGTTGAGGAGTGGCTGCCCCTGTTAGGACACATGAGCACAGTTGCCTGTCTGTACCTGTGCCAGTTGCCTGGATCCTGTGGATATCTCAGCTGGTGACTGTGCTGTGGGCTCCAACAGAGGAAGACGGAAGGATTGGAATCCACTTTCCACTCATTGCAACAGGTGGAAGCTGGTTAGATGCTGGGTCTAGATCCGAGGAGCCAAGACTGTACCCTGCCCCAGTTGGAGGCCACAGGCCATGGCCCTGAGACCAGTCAGTGTACCAGCTGTGCCCACCTCAGTGGAGGGTGTGAGTGGCAGGTGCCTCCAGCTTCCTGATGAAAAAAATGCCACAAGGGGCTCCCTGGTCACCAACACCTGTGTCCTAGCTGTATAACTAGGGCTTCAGTCTCCTCATCTGTAAAATGGGGGTGTCACAGCAACCAACTCAAAAGGTCATTATCAGAAATAATGATGCATGTAAAGCGTGTAAGACTGTGTAGCACGTAAGGGCTCAGTACTACTTACTGTTTTCATGAGCGGGGGGTTGGGTTCCTTCACCCCGTGATGGTGCGTCTCTATGCGTCAAGCTGCAGGAGGTTTGTTTTTTTTTCTTGACCAGTAAAGTCAGGCGAGTTTCCAAAGTAGCACTGAATATTACTCACCCAGGAGGCAAGGGCACGTGGCATCCCAAGACAGACCTTTCCTCTTTGTCTGGAAACCTTCTGATCACCCCAGTTTTTCCACACATCCTTGCAGGAAGAATTAAATGATTAGTGGCCTCCCCCTTGGTTAGGATAATTAATTGCTCCAAAGTAAAGCGAAGGACAGGCCCAGGGGACACTCTGTTTGCAGCTCTGGAGGTCTGAAGTCAGAAATCCCCCCAGTGTGGCAGCAGAGGTGGAGAAGGGGGCAGGGTGGAGGAGGAAGCCTCATCTGATGCGCACACACATGTGACCCGAGAGCCTGCAGGAGTAGGTGCCCCTGGGGTCTGGGAACCAGAGCTCCCTTTGAACAGTTAGCTTTGGTGTGGACACTATGTCTGCAGTCGCTACCCATCTGGAGTGGAAAATTCAGCAAAAACACAGAAATATGGAAAATTCTGAACTAAGGACCATGGGAAAGCGGAAGTGGAAAGACCAGGGAGAAATGAGGGCAGGGAAGGCCTTGCAGGCAGAGGCAGGTTTAGATCAGGGGACAGAGGAGAGGAGAGAGCTGAGCTGGGGGGCAGTTTGGTGGCAGTTCATTCAGGTAATAAATTTGGATCGAGTACCTGCTGGGCACTTAGTGCTTAAACGGTGGAAACACCATGAGAGCATGAGTAGTGGGGTCCAGGAAGGCTTCCTGGAGGAGGAGGCATCTCAGCTGACCCCTGAAAGACAACTGGAGTTAGAAGAGAAGCATAGAGGCGGGCAGAAGGAATAGCTGGCAAGACATGGGACAGGGACATGGGAAACAAAAGCAAAGGAGGCTGGAACTTGTGAGGATGGAGAGAGGAAGGAGGGACAAGGTAAGATCTTGAAGCCCCCGGCGTCATGCTGGGAAATAGGCCTTTCTCTTGAGGGTATTGAGGAGCCATGGGCTGTATGAGGCAGGTGGTTGCTATGGTCAGACTGGCACTTCTAGGTTAGGAGGTTCCATCTGCCTGAGGAGATGACAGGCCAGAGGAGAGTGGCAGGGCCCACTCCCAGTGCCGGCCTGCCCTCAGGTTCCTGCAGCCCTTGCTTCCCACTTCCTCTTCCCACCGCCTCTTCCTCCTAGCTGAGCTGCTCTGTTGGGCCAGAAGCCCCACCTCCCATCACCTCCTAGTGAATGAGAAAGCCAGACTGTACCTGGTTGTTTGGCCCATGACAGTTGGCATGACTTTTCTAGAAATCACTCTCAAGGCCAAGAGTTCCACAGCTCAGGTACTGAGTGTGTGCTGCTTCACAGGTACCCAGAGGGCTAAGGCCACCCCTCCAAACCCGAGTGGTAGGGACCACCCCAAGTAACCTTGGCCAACAGTGGGAGGGGTAAAACAGTTAATCTCTTTAATGGTCTGTGATCTTCTCCAGCCCCCTAGGCTATACTTATTGATAGAAAAGCAATGGCTTTGAAATCATCCCAGCCTGGGTTAAACTCTATTATTAGGTGACCTGAGGACCCTTTAATGACTGTTTCCTGATCTGCAAAATGGACTCGATCGATCATAATAGTATCTACCTGTATTTGTTGTCTCTTACTAACAACCAAAACTTAGTGGTTTAAAATAATAAACATCTCACAGTCTTAGTGGATCAGGAATTTGGGAGTGGCTTCACTGGGTGATTTTGGCTCCTTGGTCTCTCCTGAGGTTACAGCTAAAGCTGTGGGCCATGGCTGCAGTCATCTGAAGGCTCTTCTGGGGCCAGAGAATCCACTTGCAAGAAGGTGCACTCAGATGGTGAGTGAACAGGTGCCAGCCCTCACTTGGGCATTGCAGTTCCTCTGCAAGTGGCCCTCTCCAGGGCTGCTTGAGTGCCCTCACCACATGCCAGCTGAGAGTGAGCCAGGCAGAGGTTGGAGTGTCTCCTATTACAACCTAGACTCGGAAGCCCCACTGTCCATAGAATCCTCTCAGCTACACAGGCTTGCCATTATTCATTGTGGAAAGGGACTTCACAAGGGTGTGGACCCCAGGAGGCAAGGATCAGCAGGGGCCATCAGGGAGGCTGCCTGCCATCCTGCCTTATAAGTTTCTTTGAAGATCAAATGAACATTTCTTAAGCTGTGGCTCTAAAATCCCTTGTTCCCTACTCACAGTGCAGATTCCTAGGTCCTGCTGCAACCTCCTGACTCAATTCCTGTAGCCAGGGCCCAGGAATCTGCATTTTAAAGAACCACACCCACATCTTTCCCCCCCACCCCCCAGTTGTCTCAGACATCATAGATCTTAGTGAATGGGAGGCAGTTCTAATTCATTTTGCTTTGTTTGGCCCCACCGTGTGTGTCAGGCACTAGGAGATGCTGGGTGTCTGGGCGTAGTCAATAACTGTTGAGTTGAAAGAAACATGATCCACTTAAAGGTGTGCAGTTTATTGGGAAGATCCAGAGTAAACCTTGGGAAACCCAGAGGCAAGAAATTCAGCCAGGTTTCAGGACACTTATCTTGAGCCATTCTGTTCTCTGCCTAAGGCCACCTCATATCCAATTTGGTCTGTCATACCCACCTATTCAAAATTCCTAGGACACTTATTGGTTCAGCTGGTGTCTCAGGACCAACTGCTGCCCAAGCAGCTGTAGTCAGGGAGAGTAGGATCAAGTGAATGGGCACGGGAGGCTTTTTTTTTTTTAAATCTGTGCTGGGTCTTCATTGCCACACGCATGCTTTCTCTAGTTGTGGCGCCCAGACTTGCTTGCGGTTGCCCTGCAGATTGTGGGATCTTAGTTCCCTGACCAGGGATCGAACCTGCATCCTCTGCATTGCAGGACTGATTCCTTAACCACTGGACCACCAGGGAAGTCCCAGGAGGCAATTTTGGATGTATCTGTGCCCGGCACTGTGCCAGGCCTCGGGTACACGGGAGGCAGACCTGTCCCTGCTCTCTAAGGAGCTGCAGTTTTGGGGGTCTGGGTGCACTGCCCCACCATTCCTTGGCCCCGTAACTAGAGAAACAATGAGAACAGAGCCCCTGGACAATGAGGAGAGGGCAGTGGCAGCAGCCCGAGTGCTTTCAGAGCTGTGCCTGGCAAGAAGAGATGCAGCCGTGGCCCCCAGCACAGGTAGACCAAGCCAAGGCAGCTCTGAGCCCTCTGTCAGGAGTGGGCATCCGTTTTGAAACCCTAAGTAAAAAATAGTTCGTGGGCTCATCTTTAAAGTCTTGATCAGAAAATGCAAAACCTGCAGCTGGACTTAAGCAGTCTTTCATTGTACTGCCGTGGAAGAGTTATTTTGAATGCTGCAATCTTAGAAATTGGGACAAGTAGCAGGGCCTTTTCCTTAACAAACTTTGTGTAAGGTGATCTGGGGAGGGGTGTTGGTGGAGGGGAAGGCGCTGGACAGTTGGCACCAGGTCTAGCCAGAGTAGAGACAAAACAGCCCTGTTAAGGAAGATAAAAGATACTGAGCCAGAAGTAGGGGGAGGAAAGGGCTATTCATTCCATATTTGTTCACTTGGAAGAGGAGAGATAAAAGGCATCCAGGAAAAGGATGGGGGGAGGTAAGTGGCCCTTTTCCTCCCCCAGAGAATCCCACTGTAGCCCTAACCTTCACCCCAGTGAGCTGACAACATCCTTTCTGGGGCTGGCTACCCAGAGCCATGCGCCTTAAAAGGAGAAGCTGCTGTCACTCAAGCTGTCCATTAGGAAGCCTCCGACTACAAATAATGAAAAAGCCCCTCCCCCAAAGTTTTAAACATTTATTACCTCAAACAACAAGACTTCTAGAAAAAGGGTAAGTTCTTGGGTCCACGATTCAGTGGTTCAGGGATATTTTCAATGTGTGCTAAACTCAGCAGGGGATCTTTTCTTTAACGTGACCTACTTCATGATCATAAGATGGATGCCATGGCTCCAGGTTTGACATGGCTTACTCCCAGAGCGCTTTGTGTCTTTAGAAGCAAGAACGCCCTTCCACTCACATCTCATTGGCCAAAATGGGGTCATACAGCCATTCTTTAACATCTATATACATGAAAAGTGATCACCACAAATGTAGTTGTCATCCATCACCATACATTTAGCCCTCTTCACTCATTTCACCTGCCGCCACCCCAACACAGAGCCATTCTTTTTTTTTTTTTTTTAAGGAACCAAATAGATTTATTCAAAATATATACCAGACAGATAAGACTGTAGGCAGTTATCCCATTTAAGTTTGTCAAGGACGGTCTGCTCAAAGTGATTGTCAATGTACTGACTAAGGTATATATGACTCTGAGGCAATACCACCCCTTCTCTGTGCCATTATTCTTTATGTGCAAGATCATTGGTTAAGATGAGTTTTGAAATGACAGAGCCATTCTTTAGCAGGTCAAGTTTATCCAGTCCCTGCAAACAAAATGGGAGTAGCACAACTGAGAGAATTTGACTAATCATTTAGGGTGGATGGATGTTGGGCAGGGAGCCATAACTTCTGGCTTGATTGCCCTCCATGAGGTTCTCATCCCCTGCCCCCAGGCGGCTTCTCAGAATATTCCTTCTGAACACATACAGTACCCCCCAAAGACTGCTGCAGTGAAGACAACTTCCTCGACTTTGCCATGATCCTGGGATGTTGTGGTCTTCCTTAGGCAGGTGCCCTGCACACCTCCCTTGAGTCAAAAGGAAACACTGTTAGCAGGTGGCCACTGAGTGACCTGTCACCCCTTCCACTTTCATGGCTCCATGGAAATGTTCCTAAGAAGCCTGCAGGTGAGGGCTTCCCTCCCTGGCACCCTCCCTCTGGGGGCCTTCTCTCCATGCTGTGCCCCAGGCCTTGCAGTGGCTGTGGTCACCAATGCCACAGGCAGCACCCTGACTCAGCCCCCATCTGTCAGCTGTGGTACCAGGAAGGAATTACTCAGCACATCCTGGATGCTCAAGAGTGGCATGATTCCTGACCTCAGTATTTTTCTTGTTCTTTGAACTTGCTCTGCAGACCAAGGACTGCAGGTTACTCATCCTAAGCCACACTTTCCTGGATGCACATGATTTTTCCAGACTGTCAAGAGGCATGTGACCCAGCTCTGAATCCATGTTAAAAGGACATAAGGAAAAAAATAAATAAATAAAAGAACCTAAAGGCTAGTCTATCATGCTGGATGACCTTGGGCCAGCCCCTTCCCATCTGTGAATCCCCCATCAGCCCAGCAACCATACGTGCGATAACAGATACACAGCATAAACACAGCGGCCACCCACCCTTTGTTCACAGCAGACATCACTAGTCACTGGCTATTTCCCTCTGAATTAGCACTGGTGCCAGAATCCTCCTCTCTCTGGGCTCTTATCAGTGAGGAGAGCCAGGTGTGGCTCTCCCCTTTGGGGTCCCTCCCAGTTGTCAGGCCTTCAACCCACAGCTGACCTTCTTTCTACACCTCACCTTCCCCCTGCCTTCTTCTGCATTCCCCTCTGAAAAGGAACTTGGGGGCCCCACTGCCTCACATTCCTCTCAAAGGCTCTTGTCTTCTTCCACAGGCTTCCGGAGGTTTACAGCCCTGCTCTGATACTTTGGAGCTGTGTGAACCTGGCTGATGTCTTAACGTCTCTGAGCCAGTTTTGTCACCTGTAAAAGGGGGCCAGTATCTGCCATGAGAGGTGCTAAGAATGTTCCTGACAAAGCATCAGCCGGGGAGCACTCAGCGCACACTCGTCACCTCTCGCAGGGCTCGCTCCTGGCTCTGCCAGGCCAGTCAGTCCAGGGTTTAGATGGGGAAAAAAAAAGCTATCGCCAGCCATTACTTGCTAAACTTTTTATTTATTTCATTTTAGCCTCTATTTCCCTCTCCCAGCCTGCTTTATATCTCTCCCCTGCCCAGCTCTGGAGGCAGCCTGACCCCATGTTGGGGCTTTGAGGGTGGGTGGGGGGAGATTGTACCTTTAGAGCTTATAAACCTACACCAGGACTGGAGCCAGCGCCTCACCACACTAGCTGGGTCTGGCCAGGACATGGGCACCTAACAGTTCTTAACACCCCCTGAGACCCCAGAGCCTATAGACTAGAGCTGCCAACCCCGCCCCACCACTCAGGACTGGGGGAAGGGGGGATGGGAAGTGTACCAAGACCCCCAGAGGCGCCTGCAGCTGAGCAGGGCTCGCCAGGGAGAAGGCAAAGAGTCAGGTGAGATTCTGGAGGTTCCTTTGTCCCCAGCCAAGGCTCCCTGCCGCCACCCCAGGGGCAGCACCAACTACCCCCCATTGCCACTAGCCAAGCCCAGAACCAGGGCACCCTATCCCTTCACCAACCAACAAGAAACAAAAACAGCAAAAATACCAAACTTTGTTGCTAGGAGGAAAAAAAGACACCCCAAAGTATTAAAAAGTAAATTAAAACTGAAACGCCAGTCAGCTGAGCCAGCAGTGAGCTGGTGATTGCAGACACACAGACAGCCCCCATTCTTCCCAAGCCCCGAGGTCTCCAAAGGCAACAGGAAGGGGCCTAGGGCCGAGTCTGTGTCTCCAAGAGGGAGCCTCTGGGGAAATAAAGATTAGGGCGGAGGTGTCCTCAGGGGGTCCCAATTTTGAGGCACTGAGGACTGTAAACATGACCCAGCTTGAGGCCAGGGTGTCCCAGCCCCCGGAGATTCTCCCTGGATGAAAAATGGCCACTGTGGTGAGTGAATAACAGTAAAACCAGAAGTTGAGTGCGGGGCAAAGCAAGACCTCGTCTCCCTCAGAATATTGTTGGGCGACAGTGGGGCTGAGTTGGTGAGCACGGAGACAGGCTGTGATGGGAGAGGGTTCTGGAAGCCAGACATGGTTTGGCAGCTGCTGCTTTGCCCCTATCAGATTGGCATCTGGACCCTTTCTGGGCTGTGAGTCAGCTCAGACTCACAGGGGCACCTGCTGGGAAGTCAGCTCAGGCCACGGCTGCCCGGCCCAGGACTGGACAAGGTCAGGCGGGCTCCTGCGAGGCCCAACCCCAGGCCAAGGACGGGAGAGCTGGCTCTGGGAGAAGACAGAGGATGTGGTTAAGGAGTGTTGGGAGAGGGTGAGAGTTGCCACAGGCACACAGACATGGCCCAAGGCTAGAGGGTCTACTGCCCCGGAGGCACCACCCCAAGGCCTGGCTGAGGCCCCAGGAATAGTCCTGCCTGAGGCCCCAGGAATAGTCCTGCCTGGGCCTTGCTCCAGGATAGAAGCCCGGTGCAGGTCATACATGAAAACCCACACCGGTGCTGCCTTTCTGCACCTGCTGCTTATGGAGGCAGGAAGGTGGCTGGGAGCCAGGCAGCTCCTCCAGCAGGCCTTGGAGGAAAAGGAGGACAGGCCCAGGTGTGGTGCAGCACAGCCCGGCCTCCTGACCACGTGGGGCCGAGTCTGGACCAGTGCTGACTGCGCATGTGCCTTCCAGACCATAGGTCCTGGCAGGTCCCAGGCGCCCCGGCCAAGGCGTGTCGCCAGCAACAAGCCTCTGCTCGGTGCTTCAAGACAGGCGACCAAGGCACCTGTTGGCATGGGTTTGGCTTCCACAAAAACAGCTCTCTGGCTGCTTGAGGATCATCTAGGGCCTGGAGCCTCCTGAGAATCGGGCACGGTGCCTCCTCAAGGCTAGGCTCTCTCTGAATTACAGAGGTCCCAAAGCATCCCTCAGAATCCAGCATCTTCTCAGCACCTTGAGTTCCCGAAGGCAGACCCGGCAGGGACCTCAGGGCTGACCCTGATGGCGATTTCCCTCACGACCAGGTCCCCCAGCGTCTCAGGGCTGGGCCTGGCTGCTGAGCCACTGGCTCCTCAGCGCCCTGATCTCCTGTCCGTACCACTCGTGCAGCTGGGCGAAGGAGGCGGAATCTAGAGGCCCGTTGGGCGCCGAGGCCCGCCGGCGGGGCGGCAGTGGCGGGGGCTCGGGGCCGGGTCGGGAGCCGGGATTGGCCCTAACGGGGGCGGAGGCGGCGGGGGTGTGGGCCGCCGCCCGCGCGCACGGCCGCCAGCTGCTGCTCCAGCTCGCGCACCACCAGCCGCAGGTAGTCGAAGCTGGCCCGCGACAGCGCCTTCACCCAGCCCTCCATGGCGGCCTGGCTCTCGGCCGCCAGCACGTAGGTGCGGGCCCGCGACCCGGCGAAGCGCACGGCGAAGGCAAACTCCTCGGCGGCCTCCACCAGCTCCACGGTGCAGCCCTCCAGGATGATGACGCCCACCGGCTCGCGGCTGGCCGCGTCCTCGAAGTAGAAGAGCATGTTGCCGCGCAGCACGAACCAGCGGCGGTGGTAGGCCGCGTGCCGGCCGCCCTTCTTGTACAGGAAGCCCGTGTTGTCGGCCGGGGTGTCGCAGGTGGCGTAGAAGGCCAGGCTGCGCTCGTTCAGCTTCATGGCGCGTGCTCGGGACCTGCTGTCCCCCCACCGGGGCGGTGGTTATTCATGCGGCCGCCGCCTCATGTGACCTCACACCACCCTGGCTGCCACAGCACTCATCACCACCCCACCCCACCCCCATTTCACAGATGAGGAAACTGAGGCTCAAAGAGCAGACGCGGCCTGCCCAGGCTCACACACCTCTTCAGGAGCAGAAAGTAGACTCGAACCCGAGTCTGACTGGCCCCAGAAGTCAGGCTGGTTAACTCTCCTGCCATCCTACCTCCCCCAAATAATGGTGAGGATTCTTAGGGCATTGCCAAGCATTTTATATACATGAAGTCATTTAATCTCGAAACATCCTTTAGGTGGCCGGACTAGCCTTACCCCTTTGCCAGGTGGGGAAACAAAGTACAGAGAGCTTAGTCCACTGGTCCAAGGCCACAAAGCAAGTTGGGCCGAGAGCTGAAATCCAAACCCAGGCCTCTTTTCAGGCACGGCTAATTCTATCACCCCTGGGTACCAGACCAGCTGACCTTTCGTGGTCAGATCCCATCTCTGCTGATGTCCGCTTTGATTTGCTCTTCCATGAAATAGGGATGTGAACAGAATCTATTTCAGAGGACAATAGGGACTTCATCCATCAAACATTTATTAAGCACCTATTGTGTGCCAGGCACTGTTCTAGGCATTAGGTATAGAGCAGTAAACAAGATGGAGAGAGTCGCTGCCCTCCTGGTGCTGATATGCTAGTGGCAGGTGAAGGGAGTAGACAGTTAACAAAACAGGCAAGGTACATCTGTCAAATGGTCTTAAATGGTGTGGAAAATATAAGACAGGGAGGAGAGATCAAAAGTATTAAGGACAAAAGGAGTCTTTGATTTTAAAAGAAAAGCTGTACTGAGAAGGTGACATTTGAGCAGAGACCTGAAGGAGGTGAGGGACTGAGCCCATGGGACATGCCAGGCAGAGGGAATAGCAAGTGCCAAGGCCCTGAGGTAGGAAGCTGCTCGTGTGCCTGAGGTTGTTGGTGAGGCTGGAGCAGAGTGAGGAAGGGGAGAGGTGGGGGGGGCAGTCAGAATGGCAAAGAAGACTGTTACAAAATCCAGACCACGGGCCCACGACTTGGTTCACGCTTACAAGTGAGAGAGGCTGGAGGGAGAGCACTGTGCACCCATTTGCAGTAGAGGCATCTGACTCTATGCACCTGGCCACAGTGATTTTACCCCGAGGAGTATATGATGGCCAAGTAGGATGTAGGTGGCATATGAGTCTCCAGTGTGGCTTCACCCTCCCCTGGGGTTTTCATGGCCGCGCTACAAATGCATCTTGTGCTCCTACTTCAAAACCTCACTCTACATAGGACAGTGGCCACGCTGTTCAAGAAGCAAAGTATATAAAGTCGCTGGAGTGCAGCAGGTGCTCAATTAATGTTCGCTCCCCAGTGGGCAGTGCCTTACTCAGGACCTGGAGGAATGAGGCTCTACCAGAAAGGAGGCTCTCTCTCCTCTGGCTCAGCCGGAGCAGCCGGCTACAGTGGGGCCCAGACAGGCAACCTGACCCAGGGCAGAGGAGGCAGTTGCTCCATCCCCAATCCATCTCATCTCACCAGCCTACACACTCAAGAAGGGCTTCCTGGAAGAGGCAACATGGGCCATGATCTAGTGCTGATTATCAGCCTGTCCTGATCTAGTAGTTGATCTGACCAAGGCCACAGCCCCTGAATATTCAAGGTGTTTAATCTCTGCTCTGCCTCCCTGAGCTATGTGACTTCAGACTTAGGCCTCCCCTCTCTTGAGCTTCAGTTTCTTTCTCTGCAAACTGGGAGGGATTTCTCCCAACTCCCCAGCAAGACCGATGTGGACCCCAGCCCCATTTCCCACAGGAACCACCCACCGTACTCACCCCATTCCCTCCTACCTCTCAGGCCACAGCTCACTTCCCTGCCCTCTGCCCAGTTCTGGTTTTGACTTGCTCTTCTTTGGGTTCAAATGTCAGGTCTGGAGTGTCCGAGCTATGTGACGCTGGGCAAGCTTTAAGCCTCTCTGGGCCTCTGTTTCTGCATCTGTAAAATGGAATAATAGCACCTAAGTCAGGGTTGTTGAGACGATGACACAATGACTACGTAGAAATGCTGAGCACAGTGCCAGGCACAGTACGTGCTAAGCTCTGGTAGCTGGTGACGTTCTTCTTAGCCTCCCCAAATGCTCCCCCTGGTATTGTCTTGGTGAAAGGCCCTTGGATTCCCCCCACCTCCACATCTGGTCACTCATCAGGTCACCTTGATCCCCCCTCCAACCTCTTCCAAATCAGGGGCCTAATCTCTGCTCACTGCCATCTCCCATTCTAGCTCCCTGCCNACCCATCGTGGCTTGCCTGGACAGTAGCCTCTTCACTGGTCTCCCTGCCTCCACCATGCCTGTTCCATGTTGGTGTTCTTTAGGGTAAGATCTTAACTTCTTCCTAGGCCCCACCCCTGGGCCTACAGAGAGATCCTATAAACGAAGCCCAATCACACCCCTCCCCCACTCTAAATGCACCCATGGCACCCATGGCTCCCTACCGGTCTCATTATAAAATCCATTCTTCTCCAGGTCTTCCAGGTTCCCTTTCCCTCTCCCTTTCCCCCCGCTCCAGCCACCTTGGCCTCCTTGCTGTTCCACAAACACACCAAGCATATTCCCATCTCACGGCTTTTGCGCTGGCTATTCCCTCTACCTGGAATGCCTTTCCCTTATCTTCAGATGGCCAAGTTTCAGCTTGGGCATCACCTCCTCAAGGAGGAGAAGGTATCCGTACACAAGAGGGCCACCACCCTGCACATCATTCTCCCACACCTCAGCCACAACCTCAGACCCATTACCTGGCTCATTTTTGCCTGCTCCAGGAGGGCAAAGATTCTTTGTCGGAATTCCAGTGCCTGGCATGTAGTTGGTGCTCAAAGACCTATAGAATGAGTCAAGCAATTATCTACTTAAACCTCTCAATGGCCTCAGAAGAAGTCTTTTCCTCATCCCACATTCATAGATGTGGAAGCTGAGACACAGAGAGCTTAAATAACTTGCCCAAAGGTATAATTCTGTGCCTAGAATGGCATGCTCTGGGCAGCCAGCCCAAGGGGGTAGAGTCTCACCACCCATTAAGGCCAAATGAACAGCAATTTCCCTCACACTCAGCAGCTGCCCCCTTCCCCCTCCAACCCTGAGCCCAAGGTCACCAGCCAACACAGGACCCCTCTCTGCCCATGGCCCTGCCTCCTCCAGTCCAGCCAGGAAGGAGGTGAGAGAAAACAGCAGGGGCACAGGCTCCAGCCTCTGGGAGGGCCTGGTCCCCGGTTTATCTCCCCACACTCCAAGAAGTTCAGAGTCCGCTGCGGGCACTACTGCTGATTCAACAGTCCCGGGCCAGGCAGGAAGCTAGAGGGGACCATCCCAGCCCCTCTCTGGTCCCCATGCCTCCTCCAATCCAGGCTTCATTGGCCTTGAGAACACAGCCTCATGTATAAAATGAGTACATTAATAGCCATCCCTCTCAGAACTGAAAATATTAATTTTGAAGAGACAGCTTACAAAATACTGAGCAGGTAGTGAGCACACAGTCAGAAGCTATCCCAAGGGCAAATAATTAGATCTCGGTCTCCAGGGACACAGATCTCCCAGAACCCAGGAGTCTGGGGAAACTGAGGCATGGTTTTTTTTTTTTTGCCACTCATTTCACGGAAAGAAGCCAGGTCCTGGGGTTGGATCCAACTGCCCCAAGTGTCACCCAGCAGTGGACATGCTGGAGAGCGTGTGGCAGAAAAACATGTGTTGAAGAACTCCTGTCCAGCGCTGCCCTGGGCAGGGGCTGCAAGGATGCCAGGACCACCATCCCAGGCCATTGCTCCTAGCTGCCCTCTCTCCTTTTGTGTGTGGTGTGTTCCTTCAGAGACAGCGTGAGCCGTGGATGAAGGTGGTCGGTGGAAGAATGTGGGAGCCAAGTGGAGTTCTCTAGTCCGCAGACTTGCCTCAGCGGCCGAGGTCTTTTATGGGGCCGGAGGGTCACCGGCCAAGTTCGCCCCAGCAGCTGGAGTCCCTGACGGGAAAATTACCGCTGGCTTGGAATCGCAAAAGGACAGATCCCTAGCAGAGGTCTCTCCAGACTGCGTGGGGGACCCCGAGACCCACGGCGGCCCGAGCCCGGTCCCGCGTCCCTTGCCGATCCACCCGAAGGTTCCCCCCGCGTCAGGCCGGCCTTACCTCGCGGCACGGCCTAGGGCGATGGCAGCAGTGGCGGGATCGGAGGCCCGGAGGCAGGGGGCGGCCGGGCCATGGCCCGGGACCCGCTCGATTGTGGCGGCGGCCGCGGCGGTGCTTTGTCTCCCGGGCTGCCGAGCCAGCGCAGCCGCGGGAGAGCGCGGATTCGACGGAAGGAGGCGGAGGCCACCAGACCTTCGGAGACCCAAAGACGCTCCTCTTAACCCTTCCCAACCTTCCCGTGACGGATCCGCCCCCGCTTTCGTCCCTCGCTCCGGGATTGGACACCCTGGATCCGGTACACACCCCCGGATTCGCCACGCCCTGTGGGCCCGCCCCCGGAACCACTCTTAAAGGAACAGCAACTGGTTTAGGAATTCCCAGTGTCCTATTCCGGGTAGAAGGTTAGAACCCGGAGACTCAACGCGCTTTCAGGGGTTAGGTACAGGAGGCAGCGGATTGCTTTGGAAAAAGCCTCTGGGTCCTGGGCGGGACCGTTTGCTAAATAAAGCTCTAGGCTTGAGTGTTCAAACTCCTCCTTGGCTAGCAAATTTAACGCTCAGCTACATTTGGAAAATAACCCTGCGGAAAACGTGTGATTTATTGGGGGAAAAAAAAAGTAGAATAGGACATTTCAGGCGACAGGACAGTCAATATAGGACTGTTTTATATGGACAGGATGAGTGACACCCCCTAGCCCTGGCCCCAGGTGAAGAAGAAAAGTTCTGGAGTTAGGCAGCCTTGGGTTCAGTCCCAGTAAGTCACGGAGAAATCCATACACTTCTCTAGCCCTCTGCTTCCTCATCCGTCCAGTAAAGACAGTCATAGTATATAAAGTGCATGGCACAGAGCAGATACTCTCAACGAATAGGAATTGCTGTTCCTTTTGTTCCATCCAAAATAACACAGTTCCACTTCCCTAGAGCTCTCTGTACTTCCTGCCCTTGCTACCTCCTCCCCACCACTATATGGGCTTCAATCACTGTCCAGTCCTAGCCTGAGAGCAGGAAGAAACAGGACAGACCAGGATGAGCTATTCACTCTGCAGCCTTTTGTGCCTGGCTTCTTTCAGTTAGCATCATGTTTTCAAGGTTCATCTGTGTTACTGTGTTTATCAGTACTTCATTCCTTTATGATTGAGTAGTATTCCATTGTATGGACGTACCCCTTTTGGTTTATCCTTCCATCCATAACACATTAGGTTGTTTCCACCTTTGGCTTACTATGAATAGGGACAGTGATTCAGAAGAACTGGAAAGGGGAATTTGAGGACCAGAAGTGGGCTGTGGCTACCGTAACTAATCCTGGTGATTTTACCTGAAAACCATGTCTCAAGTCCATCACTTCTCCTTCTCGGCCACCACTTCCCCATCCCAAGCCACCATCATCTCTCTGTCACCAGGATGTGGGCAGTGGCCCTATTTCGGGTCTCCCTTCTGTCACTCCAACCTCCATGCCCCCTGAATCCATTCCCCATTGAGGGATTGTAGTATTGAATAAAACTCAAGTCAAATCAAGTCATGGCACTTCATTGCTCAGAGCCTTTCCGTGGCTCCCCACTGCCTCAGGAGGGAGTCCAGACTCCTGTCTGTGAATGACAAGGTCCTGGAGTCCTGCTCTCTACCTCCCTCTCCAGGCTCCTCATGCAGTTTCCTATTCCCACTCCCTCAACTTCCACCGTCTGCTTCCCTCTGTTCCCAGAAAGCATCGCGCTCTAAGCCTTTGCGTGTGCCAGTCCCCTTCCAGGGCTAATGCCTCAATTCTTCACGCAGCCATTGCCCCTTCCAGGGGGGCACATGACCACCCCAACACCTCCCTGCTTAGTCCAATGCCTTTGTTTCCTCCAATCACTCTTTCAACCAATATTTATTGAGCACTACTTTTTCTGAGGCTCCAGGGATACAACTTAAAAAGACAGACAAGTACATGTTCATAGCAGCACAGTTCACAGTAGCCAAAAGTGGGAAACAGCTCAAATTTCCATCAACAGATGAGTAAATAAATGAGACATGCATGGTACATGCATACAATGGAATATTACACAGTCATAAAAAGGAATGGGGTACTGATGCATGCTTCAATGTGGATGAATCTCAAAAACATGATGCTGAGTGAATATATTGTGTGATTTCATTTGTATGAAATATCCAGAATAGATACATCCATAGAAAAAGAATGCAGATGGGTGGTTGCCAGGGGCTAGGGGCAGGGGAGAATGGGAATTGACTGCTTAGTGGGTGTAGAGTTTTATTTGGGGCCAATGAATATGTTTTGCAGTCAGAGATGATGGTTGCACAACATGATGAATGTATTAAATGCCACTGAACTGTTCGCTTTAAAAGGGTTCATTTCATGTCATGTGAATTTCATCTCAATAAATTGTTTTTTTAAAAATGCCAGACAAGGGCTCCTGCCCTCCCTTACCAGAGAGGGGAAGAGATAAAGCAACATTTATACAGTACATTAGGTAAGGTTAGGACCCAAGGGGAAAATGAAGTGAGGAAAAAGCATATGAATTGTGAATGAGGATGGTGGAGTTGCCATTTCAACTAGACAGGGGAGACCTCCTGGAGAAGGTGTTTTGAGTAAAGACCTGAAGGAAATAAAGGCACAAGCCACGCAGATATCCAGAGGGAACAGCATTCCTGGCAGAGTGAACAGAAAATGCAAAGGCTCAGAAGCAAAACAGAAAACATATCAAGGAGGCCAGTGTGGCTAGAGCAAAGACAGAGAGGAGAGCTGAGACCAGGGAAGCCTGTGGGCTTTTCTCAGGAGGCTGAGGAAAGGAGGTGAGGTGGGAGAAGAGAAGACCCAGGAGAAGCCAGCTGCAGGCAGGGCACCTGGGTTTGATGGCTCTGTGTAAACTGTGACCTCTCTTCCCACCCACCCCCCACATGAGAAGATGCTGTCTCAGAATTGTGTCTGCTGTGTTCACGGCTGCACCCAACCTCCCGCCAGAGCATTCGGCACATAGAAGGTGCTGGGTGACTGGGACATGGCTCAGCTGGAACCAGTCCTCCCAGGCAGGTGCCCAGGGCACCCACCATCTTGCATCCATATCTGGGGCTTCCAACCCTTTCCGCTGATCCCCTACTTCGCCACCAGTAGGGGAAGACAGTGGTCCAAGCTGGGGTCTGAGGCAGAGTTTCCTTCCACACTGACTGCCCCACCCCAGAAACGGGCAGGACCAACCAGCCCCAAGAAGGAACTGAAATTGTTCTATACCACAAATATGCCGGCCCAGGCCACACGCTGGGAGGATCACAGGGGAGGGGGAATGATGGAAAGGGCTGTGATCCTCTAACTTCAGGAACCGCCCACTCCTCTGTTGGGACAAAACCTGTATCCCGCCAGCCCGGAGCCTGGGTCCTGAGTATGGTCCAGTTTTGCCAAAGGCATGGAGACCTGGGAGTTCTTTTTCTATTTTTTTAACGTTTATATATGTATTTATTTGGCTGCCTCAGGTCTTGGTTGTGTCATGCGGGATCTTTCCTTATGGTGTGAGAACTCTAGTTGTGGTACAGGCATCGGTAGTTGCCGTGCGCAGACTCAGTTGCTCCACGGCACGTGGGATCTTAGCTCTCCGATCAGGAATTGAACCCGTGTTCCCTGCATCGCAAGGCAGATCCTTAACTATTGGACCACCAGGGAAGTCCCAACCCAGGAGTTCTTGCCAATAAATTCCAGTTCATTCCCTGGAGTCAAAGGGAGGATTTGAGAGCCCTGCCTTAAAAGGTGGCATCGCCGACTCTTCTTCCCCCCTATCATTGATGGGGCCTCTCACCCCACCTTCCCCAAACAGATCCCCCAATTCCTGAATGCTTTCTCCCAAGGAGCAATTTAAACCTTCTCTGAGTTTCCCCTGTTCCTTATTAATAACTAAGATGTATTGCATTCTGGCCTAGAGCCACATTCCTTTTGCACAGACCCTCTTCAAACCAAGGCTCAGAGAGGGGAGTGACGTGCATACGGTCAACAGGAAGGGGCAGAGCTGATATTACAACCCAAGCCTATTGGATTCCAAAACCCATATTCCTAACCTCCTCATCACCTCCAGTTCAAGTTCAAAGAAGCCTGTCCCAGGACTGCCTTAGCAAAACACAGACTGATAGCCCCTTCCAAGACATAAATCACACCCACTCCCAGGATGCCCAAATGACTGCCTTTGATGTGTGCGTGTTAGTTGCTCAGTCATGTCTTACTCTGTGACCCCATGGACTGTAGCCCTGCCAGGCTCCTCCATCCATGGGATTTTCCAGGCAAGAATACTGGAGTGGGTTGCCATTTCCTTCTCCACTTAGATATGTATATTTATACATATTTTCTGGTTGGGTGGGACTGAAGGGAGGGGGGCTGGCGGGTATGGTCCCCGAGCCACATCCAGGACTATAGAAGTTTAAGGGGAGACCTTGCACTGGCCTGACTCTTAAAGCAATTTGTGACCATGCTTTGAGCCAGAAGTTAATGGAGTTAATGTTCACAAGTGGATTCCAGTCTCCACTCTGCCACTTTCAAGTTGTGTGACCTTTAGGAAATCACTTCACCTCTCTGTGTCTTGGTTTCCTCATCTGTAAACCAGAAGAAATAACAGTGACCCATCTTATAAGGTGTTATGAGGGATTTCAAGAATACTAGCTAATGTTTACTAAGCACTTGCTGTGTGTTTTGCTTCTGATGAAAATGCTAAGTAGGAACTGTTTTACCATCCCCATTTCACAAATTTTAAAAGCAAGATGAAATAGCTTGCCTGAATTCAAACAGTGAACAAGTGGATTTTAATTCAGGCAGTCTGGAATTGGAGTCTATGCCTTGCCGCCCCTCTGGGTAATAATATAAAGCTCTTAGAACAGTACCAGTCTATAGTAAATGCTTAATAACTATTAAGGTATTATCTTCTTCTGCTCACAAATTTTGGTTGGCAGTTCAAACATCTTTGACTAATAGAAAATCTTTTTTTTTTTAATAGAAAATCTTAAAACAACTAAGTCCTTTTCTGAGAAATGTGTCATTTGGGGTAAGGAAATCAAAATATAGAGCCTTTGGGGAAATAGGTGTATAGGAAATGTTCTGGTGC